TTTTCATATATGAAAACCATCACAGTAACTAATGAATATGGGAAGAGACTTTGAGGCTGTGCAAATGGCCTGTCTCACCTCACGTTCCTCATCCTGATTTTAGCATCCATCAGTGGATCTTGCCTGGGATGGTTATTACTGTGGTGTTCTTTTTTCTTTTTCTTTTTTTAAGTTGGTTCCATGCCCAATGAATTTGGCTTGAACTCTCAATCCCAAGATCAAAAGTCGCATGTTCAACCGACTGAGCCAGCCGGGAGCCCCTAAAGTGTGTTTTTTCTAATCCGTGAAAAATATCTTTCAAAACCAAATGTGAACTCTTGATGTTTTTCAGAAAAAAAAAGGTCCTTATGAGGCACCTCGGTGGCTCAGTAGGTTAAGCATCTGCCTTTGGCTCAGGTCATGATCCTGACGTCCTGAAATTGAGACCTCTGTCGTTGGGAATCTGCTTCTCCCTCTCCCTCTGTTATTCCCACCCACCCCCTTGTGCTCTTTGGCTCGCTCTCTCTCTCTCTCTCTGTCAAGTAAATAAATAAAATCTGAAAAGAAAGAAAGAAAAAAGAAGAAGAAAGAAAGAAAGAAAGAAAGAAAGAAAGAAAGAAAAAAGAAAGAAGAAAAAGAAAGAAAGAAAGAAAGAAAGAAAGAAAGAAAGAAAGAAAGAAAGAAGGTCCTCCATAGCAGACCCATGCTATAAGAAATGTTAACATCCTTATATCCTTGAGGGAGAAGAAAAATGATACCAGATGAACATCTGGGTTTACATAAAGGAATAAAGAATGCTGGAAACTGTTGCTACATGTGTAATTACGTAATTGTTGAATTAAAATAATAAATAAAAATAGCAATGTATTGCAGAGTTTATAATATATAAAAATAAAATACATGATAATAGCATAAAAATCAGGGGAGACATAGAAATACACTACAGTAAATTTTTTATTTTTATTTTTTATTATTTATTACTTTTTTAAGATTTTATTTACTTATTCATGAGAGACACACACACAGAGAGAAAGGCAGAGACACAGGCAGAGGGAGAAGCAGGCTCCATGCAGGGAGCCCGACATGGGACTCGATTCCGGGTCTCCAAGATCAGGCCCTGGGCCAAAGGCAGGCGCTAGACTACTGAGCCATCAAGGAATCCCAAAAATTTTAATTTTTATACTGTTTAAGGAATGTATACCACCTAAAGGTAAACTGTAATAAATTAAATACATATAGTAAAATCCCCAAATCAACCACTAAACTAAAATGATTTTTTTCATATTTTATTTTTAAGTAGTCTCTACACCCAACGTGGGGCTCAAACTTATAGCCCCAAGATCAAGAGTCACATGCTCTACCAACTGAGCCAATCAGGCATCTCCAAAATGAAGATTTTTATTTATCTCATAAGACAACAAAGATAAAATGAAATCATAAACACACTTGAGTAATCTAAAAGACAGAAGAGGGATCCCTGGGTGGCGCAGCGGTTTGGCGCCTGCCTTTGGCCCAGGGAGCGATCCTGGAGACCCGGGATCGAGTCCCACGTCAGGCTCCCGGTGCATGGAGCCTGCTTCTCCCTCTGCCTGTGTCTCTGCCTCTCTCTCTCTCTCTCTCTCTCTCTACTATCATAAATAAATAAAAATTAAAAAAAAATAAAATAAATATTAAAAGACAGAAGAAAAAAGAAGTAGCGAACAAAGAACAAATGGGACAAGTAAACAACAAATAGCCATATGAGGGGATCCCTAGGTGGCTCAGCGGTTTGGTGCCTGCCATCGGCCCAGGGCGTGATCCTGGAGTCTGGGGATTGAGTCCCACATCGGGCTCCTTGCGTGGAGCCTGCTTCTCCCTCTGCCTGTGTCTCTGTGTCTCTCATGAATAAATGAATAAAATTTTAAAAAAAGAGCCATATGATAGACTTAACCATTTCATAATCACGTGCAAATTATCTAAACTCTAGCTGAAAGGCAGAAGTTATATAGGGTTTAAAAAAAAAAAGCAAGACTCAACTATATACTACTCATAAGAAACACACTTTAGGGCAGCCCGGGTGGCTCAGTGGTTGGGCGTGTGCCTTCAGCTCAGGGCGTGACTCCAGGGTCCTGGGATCCAGTCCCGCATCAGGCTCCCTGCAGGGAGCCTGCTTCTCCCTCTACCTGTGTCTCTCTGCCTCTCTGTGTGTGTCTCTCATGAATAAATAAATTTTTAAAATGAGCTTCCATCCAAAACACCATTTCCAACCTCCTTGTCCTTCTCCATAAAACAATCTCCCTCTCCTTTGTTAGACCTGCCTATGGTTTTGCTGTAGTTTGCATGTCCTGAATTGCAATTCTCTTCCTTTCCTGAATAAACCTGTTTTGCTGGCAAAATCACCGGCTGTTTTATTTATTTAGGTTAAAAACCTTAAGGACAAATTCCCCACTCAGGGCTCTTTACTAGAGGTTTTGCAACCATTGAGAGAAGCGGATCTTGTTCCTTTCCTTATAAACTTCACCTCCTCTTTAAACATGTTCATTGGGGACGCCTGGGTAATGCAGATGGTTAAGCGTCCGCCTCTTGGTTTTGGCTCAGGTTGTGATCTCAGGGTTGTGAGATTGAGTCCTAGATCAGCTCCGAGCTGGGCCTAGAGACTGCTTGAGGTTCTCTCTCTTCCTCCGTCTGCCACTCCTGCTCCTGCTTACTCTCTCTCAAATAAATAAATAAATACATACATACATACATACATACATACATACATACATACATACATAAAATTAAAAGCCACATACATACTAACTGCAGAGATGCTGGTGAGAAGTTGTGTTTGAAGCAAGTAGGCTTGCACCGGAAAATAAAAATGCAGCCTCATGATCTGTGAAGAAGACTTAACTGCCTCAAAATAGCTACTTCTGGGACTCCCGGGTGGCTCAGTGGTTGAGCATCTGCCTCTGGCTCAGGGCTTGATCCCAGGGTCCTGGGATCCAGTCCTGCATTGAGCTCCCCCCAGGAAGCCTAATTCTCCCTCTGCCTATGTCTCTGCCTCTCTCTGTGTGTCTCTCATGAATAAATAAAATCTTAAAAAAGAGGGATCCCTGGGTGGCACAGCGGTTTGGCGCCTGCCTTTGGCCCAGGGTGCGATCCTGGAGACCCGGGATCGAATCCCACATCGGGCTCCCGGTGCATGGAGCCTGCTTCTCCCTCTGCCTGTGTCTCTGCCTCTCTCTCTCTCTCTCTCTATCATAAATTAAAAAAAATTTTAAAAAATCTTAAAAAAGAAAAAGATAAAAAGAATAGCTACTCCTGACAGGGCAGAGAGCAATGTCACTAAGGTTACTTGCTGATGCTCATGAATCACAGCACCATGATGGGGGGTGTGGGGGGGTCACCACCAGCAAAATCAAAGGTGGGATTTCCCTATCTGAAATTTTCTCACGAACTTAGAATAGAGAAAGTAACTGAGAGCCAGTATTTAAGATGCATGTCGTAACATTCTGAGCCACATAACAATAGTAATGACTGTGGGGTTGCCTGGGTGCAGTCGGTTGAGCGGCCGGCTCCTGGTTTTCGGCTGGGGTCATGATCTCTGAGTCCACAGATGGAGCCCTGCATCTGGCTCCGTGCTGAGCAGAGTCTGCTTCAGGATTCTCTCCCTCCCTCTCTCACTGCCCCCCCACCTCAGTTCGCTTGCACACGCTCTAATATAAATAAATAAATCTTAAAAAAAATAGTAATGACTATGTAACTCTCAAGAAAATGAACCATTGGGGCGCCTGGCTGGCTGCAACGGTGGAGCATGTGACTCTTGATCTCCATGTCGTGAGTTCAAACCCCACATTGGACTGAGTCTACTTAACATTAAAAAACATTTTTTTAAGAAAATGAACTATTTATAACCACAATGAAAAAAACCCACAATGAAAAACATGAATCTCAAAGAAATAATGTTGTGTGAAAGAAACCAGACATAAGCATACATAAAGTTCAAAAAAATAAGGAAAACTAAAATACAGAAATGCATCCCTATCCCTAGGTAGTAAAACAAAAAGCAAAGCAAGTAAAAAATTACCATAAATACCAGGATGGTAGTTACCTCTGGGTAGGAAAGAGAGGACAGTGAAGAAGGGGGAAGGGGTCAGGAATACTGGAAATTGATTTCCAATGGTAGTTACACTGGATGTTCACTTTCTGATAATTCAGTCAGCTGTATTTATGTTTTTTTAAGATTTTATTTACTCATGAGAGACACATACACACACACAGAGAGAGAGGCAGAGACACAGGCAGAGGGAGAAGCAGGCTCCATGCAGGGAGCCTGATGTGGGACTCCATCCCAGGACTCCAGGATCATGCCCTGGGTGGAAGGCAGGCGCCAAACCGCTGAGCCATCAGGTATCCCTGTACATTTATATTTCATATATCTTTCTGCATATGTTATATTGCACAAATAAGATTTAGAAAAAAAAATCCAAGAGTAGCCAAAGAGGCCTCCTAGGTTCTCTAGCAGAAGAAGGCATCCGCCTTCTGCTGAGGTCATGATCCCCAGGACCTCAGATCCAGTTCCACATGGGGCTCCCTGCTCAGCAGGGAGTCGGCTTCTCCCTCTGCCCTTCCCCCTTGCTTGTGATCTCTCTCTCAAATAAACAAAATCTAAAAAAAAAAAAAAAAAAGTATGGGACGCCTGGGTGGCTCAGTAGTTGAGCATCTGCCCTCGGCTCCGGGTGTGATCCTGGGGTCCCTGGATTGAGTCCCACATCCGACTCCCTGCATGGGGCCTGCTTCTCCCTCTGCCTGTGTCTCTCCCTCTCTCTGTGTGTCTCTCATGAATAAAGAGATAAAATATTTTTTAAAAAGGTAGCCAAAGCAATTTTCAAGATTACAAGAAAGAAGTGTAATTATAGAGCTTCGGTAGTTAAGAGGCTTATTGTAGGGAAGATAGACAAATGAATAAATGGAAAATAATAAAGAACACCCTTTCCCCCTCCCAACAAAAAACCCCCATGAATCTAGAATATTTTGGTCTATAATACAGACGGCGTTTTTTCTTTCCCCCTGGAAAAAGCTTTATTGTTTCCATTCGGTCCGGGGTGGTTAAAAAGCTGCCTGGCGGCAGCTGGACAAAACAAACAGAGGCCCTGGCACAGAGGGGGGCCCTCAAAGGCCGCTGGGCTCCAGAGGCTGCCAGGCATGCTTGAGGGTGAGCCTTTCGAAGAGATACTCGCCCAGCCCAACCGGGGGGCAGGCCAGCCTGCGGAGGTTAGTCAGGTGATCGCCCATCTCCTTGAGGAGCTTCACCTCCTGGCCTAGGAAGTGGCCCTCCAGGAAGTCACAGAGATGGGCGTCGGCCTGGGCAGAAGCCAGGGCATGCAGATCCAGAAGGGCCTCGTTCAGGTTCTTCTCCAGGACCACAGCAGTTTCCATGGCGTCCAGGGCTTTGCCCCACTTGTCGTGGGACGGCTTCTGCACGTCCTGGAACAGGGCGTTGCCGACGCGCTGGGTTTGCAACTTCAAGAGCCGCTGGGCGCCCTCGTGCTTCTCCCGGGCTAACTCGCGGAAGAAGTGGCCCAAGGCCTCCAGGGCCACCTCGCTGCAGTCGAAATAGAAGGCCAGGGAGAGGTAGGTGTTGGAGGCCCGCAGGTGCATGTTGGCCAGGCAGCTGATGGAGGACTCCACCTCGGCGGAATAATTCTGACGACCCCGACAGCTCGTAGTTGATGTGCCACGAGGGGCTATGCTCACAAAGCGGGGTTGGCTGCACCCCGTAGGGCCCCCGGAGGCAGAGGGTGGCTGAGGAGGCGGTTCGGGGGGCTGAGGCTGTAAAACCGGCTGGAAGGAGGTCGGAGCCGGGAATAAGGGGTGTCCCTGGGTCTGCTCAGCCCAAGGTCGGCTGAAGCACGGAGCAGGCCCAGGGGCCCGCCGGGCGCTCTGCATGTGGGGCATTGCCGTCACCGGAGACGAAGCTCAGAGTGAAGCATCCTGGATGGGCTCTTGGGAAAGCCGACAAGAAGCCGTCTTGTAAGGCTCTCCTCGGAGACGTTACGCTGGTCCAAGTGGAAAATATGGCTGCGCCCCTCGACGTTCGGTTCCCCCCCACCCCCCCGACCGCGGGCAGTTTCAGCCGCGACGGCGCTTCCGGACGCCAGGTGGCGCCTGGCGGGAGCGCGGGCGCCCGGCAATGACGCGTGCGCAGTGCTCCCCGGGTGCGCCGTAGGGCCTCCGCTCGCGCACGCGCACTCGGCTGCACGCCCGCCATCCCCGCCGGTCGCGCTCTTGCGGTGGCTCCGGCGGCGGCCGAGCGGAGCCCGCGGTCCGAGATGTCCGAGCTGCCCGCCGACAGCAGCGTCCGGCAGACGGACGCGGCGAATGGCCCCCGCGACGTCGGGCAGGCGGAGGTAGGCGGCGGGAGGCGGGAGCCCGCGCCGGCGCGGCCTGCGGAGCCCGGGGAAGGGGCGGCGGCGGCGGCGGCGGCCAGGGAGGCCCGCGAGTTGGCGGGGCCGGCGGAGGAAGAGGGCGCGCAGGCCAGGCCCCGGCCCCGGCCCGCCAACGGCCCCGGGCTGGCCGCGTTGCCGTACCTCCGGCTCCGCCACCCGCTCAGCGTCCTAGGGATTAACTACCAGCAGTTCCTCCGCCACTACCTGGAGCACTACCCGATCGCCCCGGGCAGGATCCAGGAGCTGGAGGAGCGCCGCAGGAGGTTTGTGGAAGCCTGCAGAGCCCGGGAGGCCGCGTTCGACGCCGAGTACCAGCGGAATCCCCAGAGGATGGATTTTGACATTTTGACGTTTACGATAGCTCTCACTGCATCCGAGGTCATCAATCCCCTGATAGAAGAACTTGGTTGCGATAAGTTCATCAGCAGGGAATAGCCAGGCGATGGAACTGCTTCCGGGGGAGCCCCTGCGTTCAGGACCTAACGCCAAATCCTGTCGCCGCACTTTAAAAAGTCGTCGTATATGAGATAAAGCCTGGCCTGGCGGGGTGGCAGGGGACGAGCTTATCACGAAAAAGCACCAGGAAAGAGAGGGGGGGGGACTCAAAGCCTCGCGCCTCCTCCCCACGTTGAGTTTGCGATTGATGACAGATTCTTTGCCCTGCGGCGGGGAGAGGCTTTTCCAGAATTGCTTCCCCGAAAGGCGAAGGATGGGTTTTAGGAAACCGAGACTGGATGAAGAAGTGTTGACGATAGCAGAGCCCGGGATGATGGAAGGGATTATCAAATAATGATGGGAGGAGTGAGGAGTCCCAGTGGACATGCCCTGGGAGACCCCGGAAGGCTACGGACAGAACTTGAAATTGGCGGAAGGCGCGCTCTCCTGGTTCAGGTTCCACGGAAGGTTGTAGTCTAAATGGATTTTGTGTTTTCTGAGGCATTTCAGATGGCAGGCAGTGTCACTGTTGTACATATTCCCTGATAAATATGTGTTCGAGAACATCTGAAGTTTGTGAATTTTCTTTCTTTTTTTATTTTTACTCAAGCTTCTTCTGGTAAATGTATTCACAAAGCCCCAAAATGTAAAACTATACTCCGAAAAGCCTTCCATCCCTGTCCCCTCCATCCAGTGGGTACCACAACCCACATCTGTAGTTGCCTCTTCTGTCTTAAAGTTTTCTTGTGTACACACGACTGAATGCGAATTTGGGTGGGTTGTGTTTTTTTCATTTCTTCACAAAAGTTGGTGTATTTACTAAGTTATGCGTTGCTCTTTTCAGTAAGAATGTATTTTGAAGATCCTTCCAAATGGCTCCGTTTTCCTCATTCTTTTTTAGAGCTGCATTTTGTTTCATCCTGTGGCTGGTTATGTTGTAATTCTCCAGAAATGTACTGATGGGCATCTGGGTGGTTCCCCATCTTTTTCTTTTTCTTTAGATTTCTTTTCCTTTCTTTTCTTTTCTTTTGAAGATTTTATTTATTTGAGAGCCCAGTGGGAAGGCAGGGCAGAGGGAGAAGGATAAGGAGACTGTCCACTGAGCAGGGAGCTGGATGTGGGACTTGATCCCAGAACCCTGAGATCATGAGCTGAGCTGAAGGCAGACATTTAACCGACTGAGCTACCCAGGTGCCCCAATAATATCATTTTTTTTTAAAGTTTTATTTATTCATGAGAGACAGAGAAAGAGACACAGGCAGAGGGAGAAGCAGGCTCCATGCAGGGAGCCCGATGCAGGACTCCATCCTGCATCTCCAGAATCACACTCTGGGCAGAAGGCAGATGCTCAACTACTGAGCTACCCCGGCGTCCCAATATCACTTTTAATTTGCTTTTCTCTTATAAGTCAAGAATCTCTTCTGAGAATTCTGTATATTCCCTTTTCCATGAACTGTCTTTATATCTTTTGTGCATTTCTCGCCTGAAGAATTTTGTCCTTTCTCTGTTGATTCCAGTGGCTGTTTATGTCATAGCGATATGAGATAATGATAATTGCTTGTAATGCAAGATGGGTATTTTTTCCCAGCTGGTCTTTTGCGTTTGGTTTTCCTGAAAGCCTTTTGGCATGGAGAGTTTTCCCTTTGTTTTTGTTTGCTGTTCTCTTTTAAACTGGTAAGGTTTTGAATCTCAAGGTTTTCTTGGGGGAGGGGGTGTGTATAGTTTGTGTATATTTGAGTCTTTGAACCACTTGGAATCTATGCTGATGTACAGTAGGAGGTAAGAATTCAAAATTCCTTTTTTAGATGGCTACTGGCTGTCCTAATACCAGTTACTAACTAGTCCATATTTTCCCCACTAACTTTGTTTAAAGATGCTGCTTCATCTTACACTAAACAGTGCTTTCGATTTTTCGACTACGTACTTTCAAATCTGGAAGTGCTAAAACTGTTCGTTATACTTCTTTTTTCAGAGCTTTTGGCTGTTTCTCTTTATCTTACTGATCAGCCTCAAAGTCAACTTACCTTGTTTCAGGCAAAGTTGTTGTTTTGTTGTCATTGTTTTTGAGAGGGGGGGGAACGCCTTCAGCCCAGGGTGTGATCCTGGGGTCCCAGGATCAAGTCCCACGTTGGGCTCCCTGCATGGAGCCTGCTTTTCCCTCTGTGTCTTGGCCTCTCTCTCTCTCTCTCTCTCTCTCTCATGAATAAATAAATAAATCTTTTAAAAAAAAGATTTTATTTGTTTATTCATGAGGGACACAGAGCAGAGACATAGGCAGAGGGAGAAGCAGGCTCCCTGCGAGGAGCCCGATGTGGGACTCGATCCCGGGGCCCCTGGATCACGACCTAAGCCAAAGGCAGACACTCAACCACTGAGCCACCCAGGCATCCCAGTATTTGTTACTTTTGGATATTAATGTTATCACATCATATAAATAATCTGGAAGCCTTCCTTTCCTATATTCTGGAACACTTTAAAATCCACTGGAATTCTCTTGCTAAGGTTTGGTAACATTCCTTTTGACCGAGCCCGTGCTTGTGGTGGAGAGGGTGAGGGTCCTGTCGCCACTTTCCCTCCTTTTCCCCGTGGTAAAAGCAGTAGTTGTAGGTACTTAGAAGACAGACGTGTCCTCACAGAGTCTGATTGCAGCGTTTTTCCTGACTTGCTTGATCAGATGCCTTTCCCTGCGCTCTACGGTAACAGAAGGGAGTTGCTGGACTCGGAGGGCGGCATGCAATAGATGAAAGTGCGTGACGCATAAAACTGCAAAGAATCTCTGTGAAGCGCCAGGTTTCACTTTCTCCGGTGTGGTGGGCATCTCAAGGTCGAAACTGTCTCCCTGGGTGTGGGAGGTCAGCCTGGAGTTTCTACTTCTCAAGTGACCTAGTCTCAGAGTTCTCTCGGGATCTGGCCTGAGACAGACACTGCGGGTGTCTACCCCACAGAGAAGCTGAACTCGAGTTTAGAGAAAAAGAGGCTGTTGCCCAAAAAGGAAGCATCGTGTGAACTCAGACTTCCATGGTTCCCAACTGCTCAGACATTTTGTCCCTTATTTGTCCAGAAAAGAACACGGAGGCCTAGAAGCCTCCAGGTCCATCTGACTCCAGATCATGTGTTCTTCCCACCAAAGGTCATGGACCTGAAAGTGGGGCTAGCCTCTCAGCAGGGGAGCGGGACCGGGGGGAGGGGGGTGGCACAGGGAGGGTGCATATAAACCGCATCACTTCGGGAGTCGGACTTCTTGGGTTCATGCTCTGATTTTGACATTTATCTGTGAGGCCCCAGGCTTAATACCCAATGCTCTGTTTGTCTCTTAAATTTCTCCCACTCCATTCCTTCTACATCTCTCTGAGTGATGAAATCTTAAAGAGGTTAAATATAGACACTTTCAGAATTTCAGCTGAGGGGAACACAAGAATCTAGACTTCCCAGACCAACGCACATCCTTAGAATGTGTCAATACATATTGTCATGCGGCCAAAGTTTTCTTTTATGAAAACCTGAGTTTTCATCCTAGCAAGAGTCCCAGACTCAGCTGCTTTAGAGAAATGATCACCTGCCGTTGGGTGTCCAATAGAAATAGCTTTGGACCGTCAGTTCCAAAGTGGATATAACTAGGATCGTGGGTAAGTCTCGGCTTTCTTCAAGGGCTGAGAGACGCAGAAAAGGAAAGTAGGTAGTTCTCTGCAAGCTAATAAAAATGGCTAAGTGGTTTCTCCTTCCTCCTGTCCCCCAGACCTGCCCATACCCATCATTTTCTGCAAGGAAAGAGAAGAATACTTCTATTTCTCTGGAAATGGATGGGTGGCAGGACGCCAACGTGAGCAAACACCCAGGTGAGAAGCATTTCCACCTCAAAGTAGAAACAGCCTTTCTGGTATAATGACACTTGGTCTCTGTCCCTGGTTGCGGCACAGAGCTCCTAAAACCTGGGATTCCCTGAATGATGAGGATAACGTGAGCATCTTTTGTTCCTTTTTAAGATTTCATTTATTTATTCATGAGAGACAGAGAGAGGCAGAGACCCAAGCAGAGGGAGAAGCAAGGGCCCTGCAGGGAGCCCGGTGCGGGACTCGATCCCCAGACCCGGGATCACGCCCTGAACTGAAGGCAGATGCTGAACCCCTGAGCCACCCAGGCGTCCCGAGCATTTTTTGTTCTAACAAGGTGACTCGGTGGCCCCATAGCTAGCTTCCAGATAAGAACTGGCTGCCAGGAAGACCAGGCCTTGATGAGAAGCTTCCAGCCCCACCACCGACCTCTGGGGAAAGGGAGGCAGGGTGGAGGTTGAGTTACCCACAGCCGGTCACATCTACATAAGGAAACCTCCATAAAAACCCTGAAACCAGAGTTTGGAGAGATTCCAAGTGGGTGAACACCATGAGATGTGGGGAGCATGGGGCACCCAGAGAGGATGCAGAAGCTCCGTGCCCCTCCCAGCACACCATGCCCTATGTCTCTCCCCTGTGGCTGTTCCTGAGTCGTGTCTTCTATAATAAACCAGTAATAGTAAGTAAAGTGCTTTCCTGAGTTATGTGAATCATTCTGGTGAACTACCAAACTCGAGGAGGGGCTAGAAGAACCCCTGAACTTAGAGCTCGTTGGTGAGAAGTGCTGGTGACAACCTGGGGGTCCTGAGTGGCATCTGACATGGGGCAGACTTGTGAGGCTCAGCCCTTAACTTGTGGCATCTGATGCGAATTCCAGGAGATAGTGTCAGCACTGAGTTGAATGGTAGGACACCCAGCTGGTGTCCAGAAAGTGGGTTCCTGGTTTAGATAAAACCCACACATTTGGTGTCAGGCCTGTTTGGGGTAATCTCCAGTTTGATTAACTCAAAATTGGCGCAAAATCCTTTTTGTCATTTAATATGACACAGTCATGGGAGTGCTAGCCCATCACACTCCCATATCCCACACTCAAGGGAAAGGGGATTATATGAAGGTGTAGGTCATTGGGGGTCACCTTAGAATTCTGCCTACCATTAAAAGTAAATATTTTAGGGGGTCCCTGGGTGGCTCGGCAGTTTAGCACCTGCCTTTGGCCCAGGGCGTGATCCTGGGGTCCCGGATCAGGTCCCGCATCGGGCTCCCTGCATGGAGCCTGCTTCTCTCTCTGCCTGTGTCTCTGCCTCTGTGTGTGTGTGTGTGTGTGTGTGTGTGTCTCATGAATAAACAAAATATTTTTTAAAAAGTAAATATTTTATTAAAGTACTTACTACCTTACTATGAAATCTTACATTTATCTTATGACATAGTAAAAAAACAAAAACCCTACAGTTGAACCTTCTGGCTCACCCATTGCTCTAACTTGTGCATCACATCCTCCCAATTCTGGGGCATTTGTTATGATTCAGGTTTGACAGCGTGTGAGAGACCCAAAATAACAGCATCTTAAACAAGAAAGCTTACTTTTCCCTCCTGTAACGGTCCATTTCTGGCAACTCCACCAGAGGAGTCCAGGCCCCTTCCCTATTGTTGCTCCATCCTCCCAACTCCACCCCCATGGAATGTTCCCTGTCTCATACCAAGATGGCGCACCATCAAATTGCACATTCAATACGGAAGGTTGGATGGCACTCCTTCTCTTAGGAGCACAACCCCAAAACTGCACATATCACTTCTCACTTCCTATTGTCCAAACTTGGTCCTGTGGCCACGCCTAGTGGCAAAGGAGGCTGGGAACTGTAGTCTTCCTCTGGGGGCTATCTGGGAGTAAGGGAGGAGATATATGGAGGGACACCTAGTGGTGTCTGCCACAGCTGGGATGGCCGGCCAAGTCTTTGTCATCATTTTGTGGCTGGAGACACCAAGCTTGGAGGGCAGATGTCACCAGAAAGGGATGGATAAATCAATGCGGGGGGAGAGGGGGGCATCCTCTGTACCGTAGCCCAAGACCAGGGCTTTTACCAGCTGAGAAAAGCTAACATCTTGGGGCACCTGGGTGGCTCAGCGGTTGCGCCTGCCTCCGGCCTAGGGCTTGATCCTGGGCTCCTGGGATCGAGTCCTGAATCGGGTTCCCTGCGTGGAGCCTGCTTCTCCCTCTGCCTGTGTCTCTGCCTCTCTCTCTGTGTTCTCATAAATAAAATCTTAAGAAAGCTAGTATCTCATCTCTGGTGCAGGGAAAGGCAGATAAATGAAGGTGGGGAAATAGATTGGACAAACAAGGGCCATGACGGTGTCTCTCTCATGGTTGTCACTTCGTGTCTGCGTGTGGGGTTGTGGACGGCATGAGAATTTTCTGAATTTACTGAAGCACCAGTCCTGGGCTCCGCAGACACACGGCCCCCGGATTCTCTGCTTACAGGAGCTGGGCAGGACTTCTGTTCTTTCAAGCAGATAAATACACCCTAAGAGATTTAACCTTCACATGGCTCCTGTGCATCTTCCGAGATTTTCACGTTTGACTTGTTGACTCTTTTCAACAGCCCTAGGAGCTAAGTGCTATTATGTTCCCCATTTTACAGATGGAGCCACTGAGGCACAGGGAGAGCCATGGAGAGCCATGCCAGAGCCAGGAAGCGGCAAAGCCAGGCTTCAAATCCAGGCAGGGATTTGGCTCCAGGGTCTGTGCTTTTAACTGGTCGGTTTTAGGGTTTTCCGGTCTGCCCATGAGCTGCACCTGCTAATCGCTGCCGGGAACAGAGTCCAGACTCGGGAGAGGTGCAGAGCTTCACTTTGGAATTCCGGGCGGCGTGTCCGACCTCCCTCCAGCCACCACCACGGCAGCCACTGTGCTGGGGCAGATCCTGTTCCATCCTGTTCATTGGAGCCAAACCCCGTGCTGAGCCCAACCGTGAGGTCTCCCCTTCTCCCCTCCACCCGCCCACCATTCCCTCCCTGGGAGGAGGACAGACCCGCCCAGGCGGCAGGGGAGTTTGAAGTGTTTGAAGAAGGTGATCTGACATGGAGAGTGGGTGGTGCTGGGATGGGGGGGTGTTGGAGGGAGACAAACATGTCCGTGTTCTTTCCCCTCTGTGCCCAGAAAGGTGATGGCTTGGGGGATGAGGCCAGGCTGCAGGAAATTGTGAGCATTATCAATGAGGAGATCCGGAGAAGGAGCAGGAGCCGGCAACCTGGAGGGGAGGCCAGGGAGGTGAGGTTGAGGGGGTTCAGAGGGGCAGGGGACAGGGCACCGTCCTGGCGTCACAGCAGAAAACTGGGGGCGGGGGGGCTTCCTTGTTCAACCTTCTTCCGTCTACAATACACACATAATGGGTAGAGGTGCAACAATGAAACTGTGTGTGAGCCCCAAAGCCCCAGATAGGGGGCCCCAAAGCCAACACTTCTTTTCATGGCAGAAAAGAAATATAGGGGGCACCTGGGTGGCTCAGGGGTTGGGCATCTGCCTTTGGCTCAGGTCGTGATCCCGGAGTCCTGGGATCAAGTCCCGCATTCGGCTCTGCTCTGCAGGCAGCCTGCTTCTCCCTCTGCCTCTCTCTCCCTCTCTCTCTTTTCTCTGTCACTCATGAATAAATCAATAAAATCTTTAAAAAATAAAAAAAGAAATCCAGAAAGACTGGGTCTCTGATGGCATCGCTGGACAGCCAGCCAGCTCCAGCCCCTCCTACCAGTTCATAAGGAAAACAATCGATTTGTCCTATTGGGTGAGCCACTGGTGGTCTGGCTTGCTGTCACTTGCAGAGAGGAGCACCCCAACTGAAACCTACTTATTCTGTGCCAGGCCTTGGGAATTCCACGATTAAATAGTGGTGTGATGCCCATTTTACAGAGGAGGAAACTGAGGCTCCCAGAGGTGGTGTCCCTTATTGGAGGTCACAGCAATTAGGCAGCAAAGGTCTGACTCCCACACCTTGCAGTGACCTCTTGGCACGTACCCAGTGACCCCACGGCACCAGGTGCAGAGTGGGGGGCCCATCCCTGTCCCATAAATCCACAAATGGCCCTCCACCCTCCCCGTCCTGGTCGCCGAGACGCCTCCCAACATTGGGGATCGAGAATGCAGGCTCCAGGGTGTAAAGAAGTTTGGGACGTCGAGGGTTTGACACCTGCCACAACCCCCATTTCTGTCCCACCACCTAAAAGAATACCACTAAGACTGGAAATTTTCCAAATGTATCCCAAGCCAGGGATGGGAAATGGAGAAGCTGCCAAGGGAGAAACGGACCTGAGAGCATGAGGAGTTGAGGCCAGATGACGGGGTGCAAACCTGGGGAGCAACAGGGCAAGGCTTCTCTTCACAGCTGTCCCTGCTCCCCGCCACCACCACCCAGTCCAGGCCGCTTGCGATGCTGGGAGCCCAGGAGCAGGCGACGGCCACACACCTGGGGGGACGGGATGCCAACACTAGACGCAGGCAGCCCAGGATGCAGGGAGGCAGACTGTATGTATTTCCCTGTCCCCCTCCCCGACCCGCCCCAGCCCCAGCCCCCATCAGAGAAGGACCTGACTTGGCAACATTTCAGCCCTTCTCGGCATCCCGCTGAGGCTCCTGAAATGGAGAAAGAGAAATTTTTCTGAGATACAATAAATAGTGGTTATTTAAAGTAACGATACCATCAAAAACAGCCTTTATGTTGGGGTTTCCTATGCGTCAGGCACCGTCCTAACGCTCCCCCCTTGAGTCTCCTGGCCATTTCTCAACACACCAGACACAGTCCTACCACAGGCCCTTTGTACTTGCTGCTCCCTCTGCCTGGAATACTTTGCACCAGATATGCACAGTCCCACCCCTTACTTCTTTCAAGTGTTTAAAATATTTCTTTTTTTTTCTGTTATTTTTTTTATTTAATTTATGATAGTCACACACAGAGAGAGAGAGAGAGAGAGAGAGGCAGAGACACAGGCAGAGGGAGAAGCAGGCTCCATGCACCGGCAGCCCGACGTGGGATTCGATCCCGCGTCTCCAGGATCGCGCCCTGGGCCAAAGGCAGGCGCTAAACCGCTGCGCCACCCAGGGATCCCTTTTTTCTGTTATTGAGTGAGAGAGAGAGCATGACTGGGGGAAGGGAGGGGCAGAGGGAGAAGCAGACTCCCTGCTGAGGGGGGAGCCCATATGGGGCTGGATCCCAGGACCCCAGTATCACAACCTGGGCCGAAGGCAGACGCTCAACCCGCTGAGCCACCCAGGCACCCCCTCAAGTGTTTAAATACCCTCTTCCCCAAAAGGTCTTCCCTGAGCACCCAATCTCGGATTGCAAAGAACTCCCAGCGCCCGCCCGCTCCTTTCTTGCTTTCGTCTCGTCTCACTCCTTATTTTTATCTTCTGTCCGCCTGGCGTCTTGTTGGTTGTCCGTCCCCACCACTAGACTACCAGCTTCACTAGGGCCGAGGTCCTATCGTCCCCACCACCTAGAACACACACAGTAGGTTCTCAGCAAGTGTTTGTCGGGTAAAATGAAATCCAAGGAGGTAAAGGCTCCCGTAGTTTCTGCTTTACAGAGGAGGTCCCCGAGGCAGAGAGAGGTGACAGCCTTAAGTCACACAGCCAATAAATAGCAGAGCTGGGACTGAAGCCACACAGCACTGACTTAGCCATTATCCACCCTCCGGATTTGCAATGTCCATCAGGTGCAGTATGTTCCCTTGGGCCTCAGTGATTGGTTCAGGGATGAACATGTGACCTAATCCAGGCCAATGGGAACGAAGTTTTTTTTATGATTTTTTTTTCTTTCTTTCTTTGTTTTCCAATGGGAACTTTCTTCAGGATTTATGCCACCAGGAGGAGGAGCCAGTCTGAGAATAAAGTTGGCCGGGGGGGGGGGGGGGTGGGGTGGGGAAACAGAACACAGAGTAAGGGAGGATCAGATTCCCAATGACTATGTTTTGGTGCCTGGATCAAGCTATGCCTGAAGCTGCATGAAGCCTCTAGATTTTTATTCTCATGAGCCGATTTTTTTCTCTTAAGCCAATTTGAACTGGTTTCTCTGCTTCAGTAAGAACAGTCATGACTTATTCCAATAACAACAGTCGTCACTTACTGAAGAAGGGTTTTGACAGGTCTTTAATTCACAACATCTAATATCATTTGCTTCAGCCTTGTGTGGCTGGTGGATCCAGGGTTTGAACCTAAGTCCCTGTGCCCCTGGAAGCTGCATGCACAACCACTATAGTATTGTGCTTATTGTCCCTTCATACTACCATGACGCGCGCACACCACACACACACACACACACACACACAAAGCAGGGAGGAAAACAGTGGAATGAGTGTAGATTGATAATAGACCTGGTTGGTGAGTACATGGAACTCATTATACTCATCTCTGAACTAGTGTATATGTCTAAAATTCTCCAACAAATATGTTTAAAAACATTATCACCTCCATTTATGTAAGAAGTCTAGAAAATGAGAAGTCTAGAAATGAGCCTGGGTGGCTCAGTCAGTTAAGTGTCTTGCTCAGCTCAGGTCATGATTTCAGGTCCTGGGGTCAGGGCCCCATGTCTGGCTCCCTGTGCAGCGGGGAGCCTGCTTGTCCCTCTCCCTCTGCTCCTCCCCCTGCTTGTTTTCTCCCTCTCTCTTAAATAAATAAAATGTTTTTTAAAAAAATCAAAAAATCCAGAAAATGTAGGGGTACTTGGGGTGCCTGGTGGTTTCACAGGTACATTCATATGTTAAAACTCATCAACATACTATCTCTTACACATCACTTATACCCCAAAAAGGTAAAAACTTTTTATAAAAAATAGATACACAACAGATAAAGTATTAAATGAGTAGTGGCTTGAAAATGTGTATATAGTAAATGGGTTTTTTGTTTGTTTTATTTTAAAAGATTTTATTTATTTATTTGAGAGAGAGAGAGCACACGGAGAGAGGAAGACTCAGACTCCCCACTGAGCAGGGAGCCTGATGGGGGGCTCGATCCCAGGACTCTGGGATCATGACCCGGGCCGAGGAAGACAGATGCTCAACTGACTGAGCCACCCAGGGACCCCTACAGTAAGTGGTTTCTAAAATCCAGTATCTGGGGGGAAAAATCCACTATCTGGGGCCCCTGGCTGGCTCAGTCAGAAGAGCATGTGACCCTTGACCTCGGGGTTGTCAGTTGGAGCCCACGTTGGGTGTAGGGATTATGTAAATAAATTTTAAAAATTTAAAAAAATTAAAAAAAAATAAAAATTAATAAACATTTAAAAATAGAAATCCAGGGCAGCCCGGGTGGCTTAGCAGTTTAGCGCCGCCTTCAGCCCAGGGCCTGATCTTGGAGACCTAGGATGGAGTCCCACGTCGGGCTCCCTGCATGGAGCCTGCTTCTCCCTCTGCCTCTCTTTCTCTCTCATGAGTAAATAAATAAAAATCTAAAAAATTTTTTTAAATAAAAAATAAATAAAAACCCAAAAGAAATTACTGTGCATATGCTTTAATACCTTAAAACAACATTAGCAACAGAACTTTCTGAGTCTTATATCTGCACTGTCCAATCCAGTAGCCACATGTGGCCAGTGTGACTAATAACTGAGTTCTTACTGTATTCCATTTTAATTAACTGTAAATTGCAGAGCTCCGGGCTGTTACTGGATAGTACAGGTTTACAATTAAAAGCTAAAAAAAAAAAAGAAAAAAAAAAGGAAAGAAAGGAAAAAGTCTAGAGCTCTTTTGAAAAAAAAAAGTTAGCTGACATCCACTGACCCATGTAAATTTATTACATTGTGAGGCATCTTGTGGAAGCATCTCAACAAACCCATTTTACAGAAGACACAACTTCAGAAAAGGGTATAGATGACTTGCCCTGATCTGAACTGGGAGGATGGGCTGAGCCAGGACTGGGACTAGGGTGCCCTTGACTCCAAGCCAGTGCCCTGCCTCCTGCCCTCCCCACCACCCCTCTGCTTCCCCCACCTCACCTCCCTCACCTCTCCTCCAGCGTGCCATTTGCCTGCTACCTTTTCCTGACCTCCTCCTCGATAACATTCATAATCTTCTGCAGCCTGGCCTCATCCACAAAGCCATCACCTTTCTGGGCAAGGAGGGAAAAGAGCACGGACATGTTTGTCTCCCCCACCCACCCAGCCACCCACCCTCACCCTCATCCTCACCCCCACCCCCAGGGATGCCAGCAAGGCCCTCCTTCCCTGTCTGGAACCCTTGCTCAGAATCACCTTCTTTGAATGGACCAGTTTTCCATCCACAAACACTTCAAACTCCCCTGTAGCCTGGGCAGCTCTCTCCTCCTCCTGGGGAGGGAATATTGGGGGTTGGGGGGCGGTGAGAGCTCCCCCCAAGCCCCTGGGTTCTCGGACCCCTGACCATCCCCCTCCTCCGGGCCACGGGCACACTCACAAAGAGTAGACAGTTTGGAAATTGCTGCTCCAGACTTTTTTTCAGTAGAATGTACTGCAGAGAGGAAACGAGATCATGGGGTCACGGGATCCCAGGATCATGGGGTCCCAGGTCTAGGGGAGAGGGGGAAACAGTACCTCCTTCCAGATTCATGTCGTATACTCCCACCCCCACCCCCTCCAAAGTCAAAAACTACTTACCCGAAGGCCATAGCTTCAGAGGCCGCTGGAGGCCGAGGGTAAGAGCAGGGAGGGCGGAGAGAGATGGAGGGAAGACACTGCATCAGGATCTCCTCAAGCCCAGAGGGAACACATGAGTCCAATCCTGTCCCTCCCCTGCTTGGAACCTTCTCGTCGTGCCAGGTCACACAGGGAAAACACCAGTCCTCTGCATGGTCCATGAGCCCCCACAGGATCCGCCCCATCTCCGCCACTTTCCCCAGGCCCACTGTGCTCCAACCACAGGGACCTCGGAGCTCCTCCTCCAATACTCCAGGCAGGCCTGCCTCAGGGCCTTTGCATTGCCTGCTCCCGCTGCAGAATGCTCTTTTCCGGGTATCTACATGGCTCCTTCTTGCCCCTCCTTCAAATCTTTGCTCATACATCACCTTCTCAGGGAGGCCTTCCTGACCACCCCAGTTACAATTGTGACCCTCCCCATGCCTTCTGCCATTAGCACTGATCGCCTTCTAAGATGCCAGATAGTTACTGGGTGTCATATTTATTGTTCATTCCCGTCGCCTGCACACCAGGATGTGAGTGCCACAAGGACAAAGATTGTCTTACTCACTGCTATGTCCCTGGTGCCGAGGACAGGGCCTGGCACAAGGTAGGTGCATAATAAATGAATGAATTAGTGAATTCATGAATCCATGGAGTCAGGGATAGAGCTAGGAAGGAGAAGGCAGAGAAAGGGGGGGGGAGATGAGGAAACATGGGGAGAAGGAGAAAGAGACACACACAACATGGGGAAAGGAACACTGAGTTGGGGAGAGAGAGCTGGAGAGACGGCCTGGACAGACAGAAACAGGGGTGGGGGTAGGGGGGTGCGGGAAGAGTGAGGCTGGGAGAGAGGCGGGGAGAGGAGGGCACGTTTTAAGCAGGAGAGAGGCACGGGGATTGCAGGGAAAAACAAGCGCCCCCCCCCCCCCAGGTCACTGCTGTTACTGTCAGCGCTGGGATCAGCAGTGAGAACAGAAGCCACCTTCCCTCGACCTCAGCGCTCGGGCTCCCCTCCCCCTGGCTACCTCGGCCCCTCCCGCCGCCCCAGCTCTTTCCTCACCCAGAGGCTTCCTTCTCACCGCCCGGAGAGGCCCTCCCCAGGGGCCGCCTGAAATCACCCCGCCCGCGTCCTCCGGGGCTCCGGGGCGCAGCTCTGCGTCCGCAAGCGCCCCCCAGCGTGGGCTGCGGGGAAGGCGGGCGGCTCCGCTGCGCTCCGCGCTCGGCCGGGCACAGGCCTGGCCCAGGGCGGCCGCGCGCTCCAGGATGGAAAAGTGAATGAGGGTGAATGAGCGCAGCTCAGAGCAGGGATGCGAAGCCACAGATCTCTGGCCCCAGAGAAAATGGCAGGTGGAGCCCCGTTTCCAACCTGGGGCCGGCGACTCCCTCGCCTCCCGCTCCTCGAAGCCCCCGCGCCGGCCCCTCCCCCAGGAGGGCAGGGGCGGACGCGGACGGCCCTCACCAGTAGATCACTCGAACCGCGATCTTGTCCACCGAGCAGCTCTCGCCGACGGCGGCGAAGGTGTTGGTGGACGTGGGTAAGGCGGTGGCCGCGAAGGGGTCGGTCCCCGGGATGGGCACCCGAACGGATTCCGAGGTGGCATCGGTCAACTTGGTGGCCGACGAGTCTGCCCTCGAGGTGGACCCAAGGGTGGGCCCCTGGAAATCAGTGGCCGGTGGAGTGAGGACAGGAAGGGGCTCTTGGGTGGACCCGAACCCATTTGTGACCGATGGGAGGGGCTTCACGCTCGGCGTGGGCGAAAGATCCTGGTGGGGCGACGCCGTCGTGGGCTCCGAGGCAGGTTCTGGGGGCGGTTCCAGGGGCAGGGCCGAGCTCCCGAAGGATTCCGAGGCAGGGGCTGCGGCCGAAGCCTCGACCTCCCCCGGGGATGAAATTGGGGTTGGGGTCCGGGCCGGAGTCGGGGTCCAGATCTGAGTAGGCGTCCGGGCCGGAATGAGGGCCCGGACCTGGGTCGGCATCTGCAGGGGAGTCGGGGTCCGGATCCGGGTTGGAGTTCGGACGGGAGTCCGGATCGCGAGCGGGGTCGGGGTCTGGACGGGAGTCGGGGTCCGGGCGGAGGTCGGAAGGGGGGCCGGGGGCCGGGCCAGGGTCGGGACGGGAGTCGGGGTCCGGGCGGAGGTCGGAAGGGGGGCCGGGGGCCGGGCCAGGGTCGGGCCAGGAGTCGGGGTTCGGGGCGGGGTCGGCATCTGGATGGGATTCGGAGTCTGGACGGGAGTTGGGGTCCGGGCGTAGGTCTGAATGGGAGTCGGGGTCCGGGGCTGGGTTGGGACAGGAACTGGGGCTCGGGGTGGGGTCGGCATCTGGACAGGATTCGGGGTCCACGCCGAGGCCGGGGTCTGGACGGGAGTCAGGGTCCGGGCCAAAGTCGGGATGGGAGTCGGGCCTCGAGCCGGGGTCGGCGTCTGGACCGGATTCGGGATTCGGGCCGAGGTTGAGGTCTGGACGGGAGTCGGAGCCCGGGAGGAGGTCGGAATCAGGACAGGATTCAGGGTCCGGGCCGAGGTCGGAATCTGGGCGGGATGTGGGGTCCGGGCAGGAGTGGAGGAGGCCCGGGCAGGCGTTGGGGTCCGGACAGGGATCGAGGTCCTGACCGGGGTCGAAGCCCGGACCCAGGCCAAGACCCGGGCCGAGGTGCGGGGTGGGGCCCTCGCCTGGTTGTTCATGGGGGGCAGGGGCCCCGGGGTAACGGGGGTTGGGATCCCCGCGGGGTCCTCCTTCCTCGGGCAGGGACAGCCTCACTCACACCAGGGTTCTAAAATGGAAGGTGACCACAAGGGGGCACTGTGACATCGTGTTCCACCCGGTGCTCAGGTTCCATTGCTCTGGGCCGGGAGGCGGTGGGAGGGACCTCTAGGTCTCACCCAAAAATTCCCATCCCTAAAACCCCACCTCCGAGGTAAGAAGCAGAGGTGTCTCCAGTGTTCTCACTGTCGCTAACATTCACACGTTCAGTATATATTTCTTGGCCTGCCGTGTGCACTGTCCTGTCCTGCGAGATTCTGAGGTCAGAGTCCTCATCAGCAAAGGACCAGTCCAGTGATTAGGTTCCCAGCCCAATGAGGGAAACATACCTATCACCAAAGGACAGAAAGCGCAGCCTGGTGGGGGCTGGAGGAGGGGAGGCATCCGGCAGAGGGATCAGGGATGCGGTGAAGGAGGCACAGTAATCTACAGGACCCCAAAAGGTGCTCCAACCAGCCTGGGGCAGAGAGGGCTCTCTAAAGGGGTAACCGGGTTATCTGGAGAATAAGAAACATAATAGTAAAAAACAACAACAACGACAACAACAAAAAACAGAGTTTACAATTACACACTGTTAAGTGCTACACATATAACCACAGCAAGTAAGCGGCACAGCCAGGATTCAGATGGACACTGTCAGGCTCAAGTCCTGGCACTTGAACCACTTGGCCCCATCACACTGGGAGCTCCTCCATGGGGACTTGTCTTGTGCACTGCTGAACCCCCAGCTCCTAGAACAAGGCCTGGCATGTTCACAGGAGGTGCTTCCTAAATATTTGTCTTTTCAAAGTTTACCAGTCACACGAAATTGGAAAAATAGTACAGAGAATCCTGTATAATTTCCACCCAGCTTGAAAGCTGATAGTAACATCAGATGTGACCACGATGCGTTGCCAAAACCAGGACTCCGGCATTGCTCCAATACCATTAGGTCAGGTACAGAACTTATTTTGAATCATGGAAGAGTTTCTATTTTTTTTTTTAAGATTTTATTTATTTGGGGGAGAGGGAGAGACAGAGCCAGAGAGAGCAGGGGAAGGGCCACAGGGAGAGGGAGAAGCAGACTCCCTGCTCCCTGGGAGCAAGATGTGGGGCTCGCTCGAAGGACCCTGAGATCATGACCTGAGCCAAAGGCAGAGGCTTAACTGACTGAACCGCCCCCCTTGTGTCCCATGGATGTTTTTGGGTTTTTTTTTTTTTTAATTTAAATCTAAATTTAGTTTCCATGGAAGGAAACTAAACTTTTTTTTTTTTTTTTTTTAAGATTTTATACTTATTCATGAGAGACAGAGAAAGGCGGAGTTAGAAGCAGGCTCCCTGCAGGAAGCCCGACGACGACTAGGGACTCGACCCTGGACTTCAGGATCACGTCCTGAGCCGAAGGCAAGGCACTCAACTGCTGAACCACCCAGGTATCCCGAGTCCCAACTCTTGATCTGAGCTTGTGTCATGACCTTGGGGTCCTGGACCGAGCCCCAGGTCAGGGTCCAGGCTCATCAGGGAGTGTCCTTAGGATTCTCCCTCTGCCCCTCTCCACCACTCACTCACGTGCACTCTCTCCCTCCCTCTCTTTCTCTAAAATAAAGAAGTCTAAAAAAAGGAAGAGTTATGACCTACTGTGCTTTGCGAGCCCTGAGCACTTCCTGTGTTAACCCTTGGGCCTGCGTCTCAAACACTATAAAGATCATGAGAGGGGATGGCTGGGTGGGTCAGTGGTTGAGCATCTGCCTTTGGCTCAGATTGTGATCCCAGAGTCCAGGGATCGAGTCCCGCATTGGGCTTCCTGCGAGGAGCCTGCTTCTCTCTCTGCCTATGTCTCTGCCTCTGTGTGTGTGTGTGTCTCTCTCACGAATAAATAAATCTTTAAAAAAAAATCATGAGACACACCGAATTTCCTGCACGATGCTAAGCAAGTTTCTACCCCTCTTTGGGCTACAGTTTGCCTCTCTGTGAAATGGGCTTTTCTCTGCCAGCGTCATATTGAGAGCTAACACTTACTGAGCATGTTATCTGCCGGCCTCGAGAGAAAATGCTTTGTGCACATTTAAGACATTTCTCCGAGGCTCTGTTCCTTTTCCAGCTCTTTCCCTCTAGTTCAGATTGCACAACCTCTTTTACTCTATCTTCAAGCTTGAGAATTCTTTCTTCTGACTGTTCAAATCTATTACTGAGCCCCTCCAGAGAATTTTGCATTTTAGATATTGTACTTTTCAACTCCAGAATTTCCATCCGATTCTTTTTTAAATAACACCTGCCTGTCCGTTGGTGTTCTCGATTCGGTGCTTGTACTTCCGTTACTCACGGTTGCCTGTCCCTCTCCAAACATGTTTGCAGCGGTTGCTGGGTTTTTGGTTTTGGTTTGGTTTGAAAGGCTCCATGCCCAGTGTGAGCCCAACACAGGGCTTGAACCCACCACCCAGAGATCAAGACATGAGCTGAGATCAAGAGTCTGAGCCACCCAGGCATCCCTGAGGACGCTACTTTGAAGGCTTTGTCTGTTCATCCCAAGGTCTGGTCACTCTCTGGGACAGTTTCTGTTGCCTCCCTCCCCTTCCTCCGTTATATGGGTCTTATTTTCCAGTTTCTTCACCTTGTTCATTTTTTTGTTGTCGGCAACTGGACATTTCAGATAGCAAACAAGTGTAGACCCAGGGTGGGAGGCGCAAGGCCTTAGATACGCCCAGACATCCTGGGCTGGTGGGTTTGGGCAGGTTCTCTGGGTCTTTCTCTGACCTTGCTTGGCTAGTAGGCTCTACCAATCATCAGCTGTTGCTCTACTGGTCTTATAATTTTCAACACAGCGGGGAGGAAGGGGTGATAAACTTTTCCAGAGACTGATCCAATCAAATTAGGGATCCTTGGAAGGGTTACTTTCCAAGCTCCCCAAGTAGGTTTAATATTAGTTCTGACCCAGGGAGGACTCTTGCCAGCTGCCTCTTTCCCTGGCTTTCTGGCAAAGTAGCCAAAATCTATCAGTCTCCTTCCTCTGGCCTTCCACCACAACCTCCGCTGTTTCCGAGGCAACTTTAGCCTTGAACTTCTCCATATTCAGTCGTGAAGAGAGCCACGGAAAGACATGGAGCTCTCTGCTCCTCAGCCTGCTTCTCCTGCAGACAAAATCTCTGAGCAGGAGGATGGTTGGGGTGGGGAGGATGGTTGACTTTGCTCAGAGGGACCCCACTTTAGGAGGGGAGTCCTAAGTGGGGTGAAGCGGCAGCCCCAGATCTCCTAGCTTGCCCTTAAAAAAAATCTTAATTTTTTAAAAAAATCTTTTAAAAAATACTTCATTTATTCATGAGAGATACAGAGAGAGAGGCAGAGATGCAGGCAGAGGGAGAAGCAGACTCCATGCAGGGAGCCCAACGCAGGACTCGATCCCGGGTCTCCAGGATCACACCCTGGGCCAAAGGCAGGCACTGAACGCTGAGTCACCCAAGATGCTCCCCCTGCCCCCCCGCAAAAAAAAAATCTTATTTAGGGATGCCTGGGTGGCTCAGCAGTTGAGCATCTACCTTAGGCTCAGGACGTGATCCTGGGATGGAGTCCCACATTGCGCTCCCCGTGAGGAGGCTGCTTCTCCCTCTATGTCTCTATGTCTCTCATGAATAAATAAAATCTTTAAAAATATCTTATTTATTTGAAAGAGAAAGAGCATGAGCAGTGGGGAGGGGCAAAGGAAGAGGGAGAAACAGGGATCCCTGGGTGGCGCAGCGGTTTGGCGCCTGCCTTTGGCCCAGGGCGCGATCCTGGAGACCCGGGATCGAATCCCACGTTGGGCTCCCGGTGCATGGAGCCTGCTTCTCCCTCTGCCTGTGTCTCTGCCTCTCTCTCTGTGTGACTATCATAAATAAATAAAGAAAAAAAATATTTAAAAAAAAAAGGAAGAGGGAGAAACAGACTCCCCGCTGAGCAGGGAGCCAGACTCAGGGACCCTGGGATCATATCCTGAACTAAAGGCAGAAGTTTAAATGACTGAACCACCCAGGTGCCCCTTGGCTTGCTTTCTTGATGTGAAATTACTGTCCTGGGAGTCCCAGAGAGGCAACCAGGACCCCAGTATTTTCAGCCATACAATGACCAAAATACAGCCCCACAAGTATGGGCTGGGCTGAAGATGGGCGCTCCCACCTCGTGGCTGTGCTTCCCCAGAACTCAGCCTCAGCAACATGTAGTTGGGGGCAGGATGAGAAAGGCTGACACCCTGCCCTACCCCTTCCCAGGATAGCCCTCCACCTGGGAGTTGGGAGCTGGGGGCAGAGAGGGAGCCCAGTCAGGAATGGGAAGGGGTTTTGCGGAGAGCTGCGGGGGGGGGGGGGGTCGGGGGGGGGGCGTGGTGATGGTGGGAGCACTGGGGAGGGAAGAAGAGGGTCTTGATTCACCCATCACTGATTCTCCCTGTGTTCACCAAATTTTTAGTATTTTTTTAAAGATTTTATTTATTTATTCATGAGAGACACACAGAGAGAGAGAGAGGCAGAGACACAGACAGAGGGAGAAGCAGGCTCCATGCAGGGAGCCCGACGTGGGACTCGATCCCCGGGCTCCAGGATCACACCCTGGGCCTAAGGCAGGCGCCAAACTGCTGAGCCACCAGGCATCCCGATTTTCTTGAATAAATGTTTATTAATTTGCTATGTGCCCTCCGGATCATTCCCAGAAGCTTCAAATGGTTGGTTTGTCATTTTGTTTTTATAACTTCCACCAGTGTGCCAGCAGGCAGGTCTGCCGAGCTCCTTCCATGCCAGAAGTGGGAACTCCATATAGTCCATTTTTAAAACACAAATGGTAGCACCCTATTGGTTCTTCTGTACCTTCTACTTTTCCCCCTTGGACAAAATCTATCAAAGATAATTTCATATTAGCATATCTACAGCATTTTTAAGGGTTGTGAAATATCCTGCTTATAAATGGCCCCAAATTAAAATAACCAGTCCCTTCTTATCAGACATTTAGATTGTTTACGGCCTTTGGCTGTTACGAACCACTGCACTACAGAGAGCTTTGTGCTCAAGTCAAAGTTTACACATAAAGTCCTAGACCTGAAACCATTAGATCTAAAGGAATGTGAATTTCTTTCTCACGTTAGAAGTTATATTAAATTACTTTCTTTTTTGTTTTATGATAGTCACAGAGAGAGAGAGAGAGAGAGAGGCAGAGACACAGGCAGAGGGAGAAGCAGGCTCCATGCACTGGGAGCCCGACGTGGGATTCGATCCTGGGTATCCAGGATCTAGGCACCCAAAGGCAGGCACCAAACCGCTACGCCACCCAGGGATCCCTTAAATTACTTTCTTGATGTTTTATTTTGTGATACCTTATAAACATCAGGGTGTTGCAGGCAGCCAACATAGCTGCATTTTGTTTTTTTGTTTTTGTTTTTTTTTCTTAAAGATTTTATTTATTTATTCATGAGACACACACACACACACACAGAGGGGCAGAGACATAGGCAGAGGGAGAAGCAGGCTCCTCAAGGGGTGTCCAATGTGGGACTTGATCCCAGGACTCCGAGGTCACACCGAAGGCAGATGCTCAACCACCCAGGTGTCCCTGCATTTTGGTTTTTAGAAACAGGGAAGCGCAACACGGATCCACAAAAATCCTACAAGCTGGGGATCCCTGGGTGGCTTGGCAATTTAGCTCCTGCCTTCGGCCTAGGGCATGGTCCTGGAGTCCTGAGATCGACTCCCGCATCCGGCTCCCTCTGCCTGTGTCTCTGCCTCTCTCTGTTTGTGTCTCTCATGAATAAATAAATAAAATCTTTAAAAAAAAAAATCCTACAAGCTCTTTAGCACAAAGGCATCATGCAGGATGACTGCGACCCAAACCCCACACTGTCTTTGCAGTAGTTACTTCAAACTCTCTGAGCCTAATTTTCTCTTCTGTAAAATGAAACTTATTTTTTAAAGATTTTATTCGGGGATACCTGGGTGGCTCAGTGGTTTTTAGCGCCTGCCTTTGGCCCAGGGCGTAATCCTGGAGTCCCGGGATCAAGTCCCACATGGGCCTCCCAGCATGGAGCCCGCTTCTCCCTCCTCCTGTGTCTCTCTCCACCTCTCTCTATCATAAATAAATAAATAAATAAATAAATAAATAAATAAATAAATAAATAAATAAACAATCTTAAAAAATAAATAAAAGATTTTATTCATTTATTCATTCAAGACACAGAGAGGCAGAGATATAGGCAGAGAGAGAAGCAGGCTCTCTTCTCCCTCCCTGAACGGAGGCCAATGGGGGACTCATCCCTGGACTCCCAGCCCTGAGCCAAAGGCAGCAGCTCAACCACTGAGCCACCCAGGCATCCCAAAATGGATTCTTTCCACTCTGACTGGTTCTGTTGTGTTTAAAAAAAGAAAGCACAGGCTTGGGGAGCCTGGCTGGCTCAGTTGGTGGAACATGCAACATTTGATCTTGGGGCTGTGAGTTCAAGCCCCACGCTGGGATGTAGAGATTACTTAAAAAAATAATATCTTAAAAAAAAAAGGGACAGGGATCCCTGGGTGGCTCAGCAGTTTGGCGCCTGCCTTTTGCCCAGGGCGCGATCCTGGAGTCCCGGGATTGAGTCCCGAGTCGGGCTCCCCGCATGGAGCCTGCTTCTCCCTCTGCCTGTGTCTCTGCCTCTCTCTATCATGGATAATAAACAAACAAATAAATAAATAAAATGGGACACCTGGGTGGCTCAGTGGTTAGGCATCTGTCCTCCCCTCGAGGTGTGATCCCAGAGTTCTGGTATGAGTCCCACACTGGGCTCCCTGTGGGGAGCCTGCTTCTCCCTCTGCCTGTGTCTTTGCCTCTCTCTCTCTCTCTCTGTGACTATCATAAATAAATTAAAAAAAAAAAAAAGCCCAGGCACAAAATGGCATCACTTAGGCTAAGTCACCAAACTGGGACTTAATACTTAACTTAATTGCAGTTTCAAGTTTACTCAAAAATATGTCTCAACAGGCCAGTCAGGAATTCTTTGATCAGCACCAATGATCGAATCCATCACATGGACCCCTTCCATCCCCCCCCCCAAAAATGAGGTAACTCCCCAATAAGACTCCAGCCCTTCCTGAAGGTGACCTTTCCTGGAACAACCCTTCCTTTTCTTTTGCTCATTTTCTCATCCCACCCTCCTTCCTATAAAAACCTTCTATTTTATACAACTCCTCCCAGCTCCCCTCTACTCACCAGACAGGGTGCTGCCCAATTATGAATCACTTAATGAAGCCAATTAACTCTTCAAATTTATTGAGTTTTTGTTCTTGTAACAGTTGGTTTGCCGGCCCAATGCAATACCCAATGCAATACCCGTATCTATTAACAAACCTAGAATTTGGGTAGAGGGAGGGACACTGCTTTGCCCATCCATGTGCCCCACTTGATTTGGATAGGCTGACTGGCCTTACTTCCCACCACACACTAGACAACCAAGCCTGGCCAGTCATAATAAACCTTTCTGCCTGGTCCCTAATCCTGGTCCGTCCCTCAAGGCCATGTGACAAGCCAGAGCCAAAGGAAGCCTCATTTAAATCAACGAAGTTATTCCCAGACACAACTGGGGAAGAGGTACTGAAGGTACCTGAATGCAGCCCTGCTGAAGCTACCCCTACCACAAGATCTTTCATTTTTGTGAACTATTAAATTCTCCTACTTAAGCCACTTTGAGGTGTTTCTGCTCCCTGCAGCGAAGTCCTAGTCTTCTCAGGACACAGTATCTCCCCGCTCCGTCCCAACACTAAGTCCAAAGCACTCAGCCCAAAGAGTCAAAGCTGATACAAAATATGAACCTTTATAGATGTCTCTGGAGAGATGGAGAGAGGAAAAAATAGGATTTAAATAACCATTATGTACAATGCCCCAAGGGAAAATTCTCCCGGCCACCCCCTCCAGCTCCAAGGTGTCTGAGGCAGAGACTGGGCACCACCAGGTAAACAGGAAAATATCCAGGTTCTGTCTCCAGGCGCTGATGGAGAAGGGGCAGGTCAGGCCTAGAAATGAAATAAGTAGGAGGCATTAGAAAGGGCTGCCCCCGTGCCCCTCTCCCGCTCCCCAGTGAGTGGGAAACAGCGGGGCTCGGGCTGCCGCTCTCCCCACCGAGACCTCTAGAAGCCCTTAGGGTCTTCCAAAGAGAAGAGGGAAGTAGCTCCAAAGGACAGCAAGAGGGCTGCAAGACAGAACCCCATGAAGCCTCGAGGACGTCCCAGAGACTCCACCCTCCTCATTCGCGCAGACGGGAGGAAAGGGGGGGCTGCGGGAAACGCAGGGGCCGCCTCCGCCCAGCGCCCCCAAGGTGTGCGGAGAAGGCAGAGGGGGCAGCTACCTCCGGGGCGTGCGCCGAAGGGGCGGGTATGACGTAGATGGCACGCGAGTCTCCATCTTCAGGGCGATTCCAATCCTCGGGCTGGCTGCGGGAGGAAAAGCCTCAGGCCCAGGCCCTCCGTCTTCTCAGACCTGGATTTGCCCCCACCCGCCACGGAGAGGGCCCGAAGCCAACTAGGGGAGCTGCGGGAAGACGCCCTCGGAAGAGGCCGGGAGCAGAGAAAAGGAAGGGAGCGAGCGGGAAGGCCTAACGAGGCGGGCGGCACCTGCAGTCCGGGGCGGGCGCTCACCTCGGCCCCGCGGCCGCGCCGTCCTGCGCTCTGCGGTTGTTGAGGGCGTCGGGCAGCGCGTGCGCCGACGGCTCCGGGGTCCCCGGCAGCAGGCGAGGCCCAGGGTCCCGGCCCGGGCCGCGGCGCCGCACGTGGACCAGCAAGAGCGCAGCGCCGGCCAGCCCCGCGGCCACCAGCAGTCCCAAAGCCGGGGGCAGAAGGAAGCGCTGCGGGTCCCCCGGCCGCAGGCCCGGCATCGCCGCGGGCAGCGCCCCCGCGCCGTCGTCCGCGCCGTCGTCCGCGCCGTCGGGGTGAACCGGGACCTCGCAGCGCGCGCCCATGTAGCCCGGCGCGCAGGCGCAGACGAGGCCGGAGAAGTGGGCGTAGCAGCGGCCGCCGTGGGCGCAGGGGCGCGCGGCGCACGGGTCGGCGCGCTCGCGGCAGTCGCGGCCGCCGAAGCCCAGCGCGCAGGAGCAGCGGCGCGCGCCGCCGCCCTCCAGGCACGTGCCGCCGTTGGCGCAGGCGCGGCCGGCGCAGTCGTCCAGGTCGTGCTCGCAGCGCGGCCCCGCGAAGCCGGCGCGGCAGCGGCAGCGCAGGGCGCGGCCCAGGTCCAGGCAGAGCCCGCCTGCGGGGAAGCGGCGTCAGCGGCGTCAGGGACCCTCGGCTCTGCCCGCCGGGCCTCGGGGTCCCCGCCGCCGCCTCCAGGGCCAGCCCCTGGGAGTGGCCGGGGCGCAGGCCCGTCCAGTCGTGGATGGAGGCCGCGCTCCGGATCTCCCTTTATCGCCCGCCGTCGGCCTTCCCGCGTAGCGTTCCCGAACACGTCCGCGGCGCCGGCCCCTGCCCGTGCCTTGTGCCCCTCCCTCCTTTCCTCCCCTTCTTTTCACCCAGTCTCTTCCCGAGCTCAGCCTTCAGGGCTCTGCTCAGATGCCCCCTCCTCCAGGAAGCCTTCCTGACTCTCCATCCCAGCCCCGCGCTCCCCCATCCTAACCCTGACGGCTCTGGGTTTCAAGGACAAGCGTGGCTTCTCCTCTGGGCTGGTACCCCCTGAGGGCGCGGCCAGAGCTGCCCGGGTCACTGCCGTGTCCCTAGTACCACTCAGCCCAGAGTGCACGCCCCGTGTCTTGGAGAGAATTATTATTATTATTATTATTTTATAAGAATGCACTGAGCTGGGGCCCCCGGGTGGCTCAGTCAGCTAAGTGTCAGCCTCTGGCTCAGGTCATGATCTCTGGGTCCTGGGATCTCTACACCCAACATGGGGCTTGAACTTACAGCCCTGAGATCAAGAATCACATGCTCTCCGGACTGAGCCAGCCACTGTCCCTGACTCACGTATTTTTGAGATAGGGATAGCACCTTGCCCAGAACAAACAGACTGGGCAGAGAGAGCCCCTTTCGCAGGCCACGGCCAGAGAAAGCACAGCCAGATTCCCACCCAGGACCGTGTGAGCCGCTGACCATGCAGGGACCCCCCCCCGATCCCCCCCCCCTCACCGTTCCGGCATGGCTTCAGGCTGCACCGGTCCACTCTCTTCTCACAGTTGGAGCCTTGGAATCCGGGCGGGCAGTGGCAGACGTAGGCAGAGTCAGGGTCTGCGCCTCCCACACACAGGCCACCATTGAAGCAAGGTCCATCCGCACACGTCACCCCGCTCACCTCACACCGCAATCCATAGAACCCGCGGGGACAGGCGCATTCGAAGGATCCTGGGGTCTCCTGGGTGGCAGCAAGGGGACTTCAGCACAGGGTCTCCTGGGAGCAAAATCCCATCCCCCCTCCTACCTTGACCATGGAGGGCTGCTCCTGGTCGGGTCCTACCTCCCAGTCTTCAGGGGCCTCACCTGGGAAGTCCTCCTGAAATCACTCGGCGTTTCTGGATCTGCCCAGCCAACCCCGCAGAGGGGAAGCTCTGGGGGCCCGGAGAGATCCCATTCCCTCCTCTACACTTTTGCCCACAGATGCTACCAGGCAGGTCTCCCCGATTCTGTCCGCATAGCCACCTCCTACCTCCAGGTCCTAGCCCTAAGCCCACCTCCTCCACGAAGCCTTCTCTGGATCTCCCTTTCTCAGGCCTTCCCCCTAACCTGAACCCTGTTTCTTGCTGTCCCTTAGCAGCAGTGTCCTGGAGCCCACGCTGGGCTCCACTTTATCCCAGTACACACCAGACTCATTCCCACCGCCACACTTTTGCTGACGCCAGGCCACTCACCTGGTCCTCCCACTCCACTGCCCCTCGGCCAAATTGGACTTCAGAAGCCCCAGCCCTGGGCCCGTCTCCAGGAAGCCTTCTCTGATGTCCCCTCATCCTAAATTCCCATCCCCCTCCCTTCCTTGCACCCTGAGTTGTCCTCAGGGTGCCCCCTCATTCCAGGGGCAGGGGTGGGGGACAGTTGGTAGCTACACCCACATGCCCACCCCTTTAGGTGCCACCCACTGCGTTGGCTCTTCCCAACCCCATTCCCTAATCCTACTTCAAGGCCCCAGACGAAGACTGGACACCTCCAGGAAGCCCTCCCCTGACAGCTGACCCCAGCCCTCTCCAGGTTGTGATCTCAGGGAACCCCAGACAGGGGGCCACCCGGAACTCCCTCAGGATGAGGTAGGAGGGGGTGATACTGACACTACAGCTGCCCCCGTTGGCACACGGGTTCCCGTCACAGGGCCCGGGCCTGGGTACAAGGCATCCGGTGGTGGCAGAGGACGGGCCCCTGGGAGTGTGGCAGCTGCTGGAGACTGGGATGGTGCAGAGGGGCCCAGTCCAGCCCTCCAGGCATCGACATTCATTGGGCTGCTCACAGAAGCCGTGGTCTGGACTGCAGCCCGCTCGACATGCCGCTATGGGGGAAGGAGAGGCAGAGGGAAGAGTAATAGTGATGAGGGCAGCTCAGGAGGATAGGAATCAGAGAAGTTTCTGAGCACTTTGTGCACTGCTTTGTTTCATCCTTGTGACAACAACACCCACCCCCGGGGCTAGATGGTACTGTGACCCCCCAGTTTCCACACAGGGAAACTGAGGCCTAGAGAGGCAGATGGGAAGCGGCAGATGGAGGATGTGACCCCAGGCCACTGAGCTCCAGAGTCTGTGCTCTTGGAAGGAGAATGGAGTGGGGTCCCCAGGGTCTGAGCTTGGTGAGAGCAGAATGAGAGAAGGCGATGAGGGTTTGGGGAGGGGCCCCTGGCCTTTCAAGCGAAATGGGAGGGTGTTGGCTTAGGGCAGGTTTGGGAGCATCTGGATAAGCCTGGGAGTCCTAGGGGCTTCCGTGGGATTCAGAAGTTTGGGGAGCGGTCTGAGGATCCAAGCTTTGGAAACCAATGATATCTGGCCTGCAAGTTGCAGAGAAGGAGGATAAAGATCCCTTGGCAGGGGTAGGGGGTGGGGGGGTGGGGGGAACTGCAGTTTCCAAAGCTCCTGGGTGGGGGTGAGAAGGGCCCCAGCATGAGAAGAGTTTAAAGGGTCCTAGCATCTGGAAAGGGCTGTGGTCCTCCGTTAGAGGAGGAACCCGGGGTGGGTCCCAGCATGGGAAATGGGTGTGGGGTTCCTAGAAAAGTGCCCTAGAAAGAGGGAAGGGGGCTGGAGTGCCCAGGCAGGGCTGGAGAGAAGTCTGGGCTCCTCAGTTTCCCCGAGGGGGCGGTAGCTGGACCGTGGGAGGGAGGTGAGGACGGCGCAGGGGTGAAGGGGGCTGGAGCGGGGCCTGGGGGGGTGCCTGGCCAGCGGGCAGCAGCTTTAGCTTCCCGGAGGGGGCGTCTGCGGACGCGGGCAGAGCACCCTGAGTCGGGGCACCCGGCTGCCTGCAGAGGTAACCGGGCGGTGAGAGGCGGCCAAGGAAGGGCGGCAGGTGGGGGGCGCTGGGACGCAGCACTCACGCGTGGCCTCGCACTCGTCCTCGAGCGGCGCGCAGGGGCGCAGTCCCGGACCGCACCGCGAGGGGGCGCTGCGGGGGCGGCAGAGGCGCGCGCACGCGGCCCCGACGGCGGGCGGCTCGCAGCGCGCGCGGTACGAGAAGCGCAGCTCCCAGGCGCCTGCGCGCTGCACATCCCGGGCCCACGGGCCCCCGGCCGCCAGGCGGCGCCGTCCGGCCACGCGCGCCAGCAGGCTCCAGGCGGGCCCTGCGGGGACAAGGGGGCGGCGCTGGGGCGGCGGCCTCGGGCGGTGCCCACGCAGCTTGCACTCTGCCCTCTCCCTGCCCCTCTCAGCGAGGCCCCGACAGCGCCCTGAGGATGGCGGCCACCCCTTGGCAAGGCCGCGACCTCCCATAACGATGTCGCCGTCCCACTGGGACCCTATGGCCCCCTATGGCCATCGCGATAACAGTCCTCCCCCAGAAACCGAAATACCCCCCCACCTGCCCCAGAATCTTTTATATTAAAGTAGTAACGAGCCCCCTAAGACCCTGTGACATCCGAGATCTCTTTGGCCAAGGGGCAACTCCAGTCCCTTGAAGGGAGGTCGTAACACACGCCCAAACCGTGCCTGGGATCTTCCTATATCAAAACGGTGACAGAGACCCCAATTACCAGACCACAAATCACCCTTCTTGTCTGAAGCCTCCGGATACCGAGAGAGTGGCACGTTGTCCCCAGCAAAGCTGTCACACCCCGACACTGCCACAGGAGCTTTCTGTGCCTCAGTGGTCACAGACCTCCCGGCTGTGAGCTGTACATGGCACCCAAATCCCCTCAAATTAAGAATAAAACCACCCCATCTCCCTCCCTGAAACCTTTGCTCAATATTGTCTCTGGGGAACCTGCGAACATCCCACAGGGCTCCTGGGACCTCTACGTGGACGTCATGACAGAGCTTTGAAAAGAAAACAGAAGTAACTGACATTGTAGCCCAGCTTATCAAACTCAGATGGTGACAGTGCCGACCCGTGAGGTGCTATAGCCTGCTCTGGTGGCTTCGATTCCAAGATAGGAAGAGTGTCCTTTGCCTGGTATCAGGCCAGAGACTCCTACGTCCGGCACAAGGACACTTCTACACCGACATGCCTAGAGCCCTGGGGCTACCAACACCCAGCACCGCACTCCGGGAGCTGTGAGGACATCACAGGTGGGCAATCCTGTGAATGCTCCACCCCACAGACGGCCACGTGTCACTGTCGTGGACCTTACATCGGGCCCCAACTCCCTGGAGCCCCCACACTCCTCACTTCAGTCTGATGACTGAAGACACTCACCTCCAATCTGTTCTAACTCCTCTCTCCAGGCTTCGATGATAAGAGAGAAGGTGCCCTGGTTGGGTGAAGGAAGGAGAAGAAAGAACGGAAGACAGTGGTCAGGATGGGTGCTTGATGAAGGCCAGATTTTAGGGGTGGTCATCATTCCAGGGACCAGGCAGACAAGGGACAATTCCCAGAGGGGCTGGCTCGGGGAAGGAAGGACAGCGTGGGCTTCCTCTATTGAGCACTTCCTGTGGGTAAACATTAAATTGGAGATACCTGGTTAAATCCCTCAAAGGGTTAAATCCCTTTGTAAGGTACCAGGATGATCCCATTTTACAGATGGGGAAACTGAGGCTGGGAGAGGGAAAGCCACCTTGCCCAAAGGACAGGGGTCTAGAATTCAAGCAAAGTTCTGTTCACCTGTCTGCTTCTGGGGTTGGGAGATGGGAGGTAGGAATTTGGAAGTAGAAGTCATGAATATGGGCCCCAACTGGAAGATGTGAGAAGGGATAAGGTGAGAGGAGATTGGGGTCCCAAAGACCAGCTGTGGCAAGGTCCCTAAGTGCAGAGAGATCTAAAGATAAAGATAAGGATTCCAGTGTTTCGGGATCCCCAGGGAACAGAGGAAGGGTTCTAAGAATTTGGGATTTACAGAGGGTGAGTTTGAGGTTCTGGGAACTTGGGGTCCCAAGCATGCAGGGTGGGGGGTCAGAACATTTGGGATCCCCAAAGTGGAAGCTGGAGTCAGAAATTTAGGGTACCCTGTAGGATTTACGGGTCTAAGAATGTACGATTCTAGATGATAGTTACTGGTTTGGGAATTTGGGGTCCCTGGGTGGGGGCAAAGTTGGGGCCATACAAGTTGGAGGGTAGAAGGCCGGAGAGGTTTGGGTAAGGCCTGCGGCTCGGGGTTCTCACCGGCCAGGCTTCCCGGAAGGGCACGCGCATGAAGCCGTCGGGCAGCGGCAGGTCGGGCGCCGGGGCTCCGGGCTGCTGGGTGTAGACCGGTCCGCGCGCGCTCAGGGCCGCGCCCAGGGCGCACGGAGCCTCGGCGGCCTCCTCGGAGACCCCTGGCTTCAGGCAGACCCGAAAGAAGAGGCGGCACGGGCCCTGCGCGCTGCAGGGGGACCGCGGCGCCCCGGGGCCTGGTCCCGGCCCGAATGAGTGGATCTGCAGCTCGAAGACGCCTGCCGGCCGGGCCTGGGGCCGCAAAGGGGCACAGGATGAGGAGGCGCCGGGCCCAGGCAGCCCGACCGCCCCAAGACCCCTGGGTCGCACCCCTTCCCTTCCTCCCTTTCCACTCCTGCTCTGACCTGGGGAAGGAAAATAAGCGCCAGGATCACCGTCCGGGACAGGAGCTGGCGCATCTGCGGGCTGACCATGGCCTTTCTGGGGGTGCTGGAGCCGCAGCTGCTGGCTCCCCGGCCTTATATCTGAGGGGACGGCTCCGCCCCCTCGGGCAGCCGCCGGGCTCCGGGAGACCCTAGGGGAGGAGGTCGCAGGGGAAGGGGAGCGTGCTGGAGCACCCGTGAGATTGTGATGTGGGCACAGGCGATGTCGCGCGTGTGTGATCTCGTGTGGCTCTGGCACAACTGTGTGTGGCTGAGGATGGGCTGGGGCCAGGGGGCCGGCGTGCGAGGTTATATATGATCTTAAGATCCGCGCCTGTGTGTGGTGTGAGCAGGCGCTCCTGGCCGGAGGCTGTGCCTGTGATTGTGTGTGCCTACAACTGTACGCGGTTAAGACGATTCGTGAGGTTGTAGGTAATTGTGTGTGTGTGTGGGGGGGGGGTACGCGTGTGCACCTGCATGGGAGGATGGAGGCGTCCTTGACTTCAGGATTGTGTCACTTTGGGGATCCTGGATGCTTCTCTGTGCGTGGATGAGGAAGCCTGAGATCCTGGACCCCTGAGTGGAGTCATAGGAATCTCTAACTTTGTGGCCCGTGCAGGTACGTCTGGGTGTATGTGTGTGTGTGTGTGTGTGTGTGTGTGTGTGTGTGTGTGTGTCGGGGTCTGTGTCAGCTGCGAATAACCGAGCGTGCGGTGTGAAGATCAGGTGGGGGAGGTCCGTGGGTGTAGCCACGTGTGGATACGATGAAGATCCGGGGTTCTTTGTGGCCCTCGTGTGTGTGGACATGCGTGGTGCGTGCGCTCCCCGCCCGGAGACAAAGCCGCCGTTCGAAAGCCCGCACCGGGGCCGCGCGGGCCTCGGGGGACGCGCCCCGCCCGGGCGGCCCCAGCTGTATGTAAATGCCGCCATCTGCCGGGCGGCCGGCCCCTCCCCCCGAGCCGCAGCTGGGCGGCCCGTTTGGCCTCCGGAAGGTGTGAGGAGCAAATGGGCAGGAAATTCCGTCTTCACAGATCAGGGGCGCCCCCAGCTCCCTCACAGTGGGGGGAGGGGGCACCCCCGGGCCAAGGCCAGCCAGGGCCGGGGCGGCGCAGATGCTCCGGCTTCTGGATCTTAGTCGCGCGGCGCCAGGTGCTGAGTAAAGCCCTTAGGTGACGCCAACTCCCTTTTTCGCCCCAGAGAAAACATTTTAATACTTCGAGGCTAATAATTGTTCGGGGAAATGGGTTCGATTTACAGAGGTCTCCTCGAGAAGAAGATAGGATGGTCAGTAGAGTACAGCCCGGCTGACCCCGAGTGGGCCGGCGCTCAGCGAGTTTTAATGAAGGAGAGTTAGAGCCCCCTCTTAGGGCGCTGGGCTGGCGCCCCTCTGGAGCCAGAGGCTCTGGATCTCGAGGTTGGGAGTTCAAGCCCCACGTTGGGTGGAGAGATTACTTAAAAACCTTTTTTAAAATATTTTTATTTTATTTTATTTATTTATTCATGAGAGACACAGAGAGAGAGAGGCAGAGACAGGGCAGAGGGAGAAGCAGGCCCCATTCACGAAGCCCGATGTGGGATTCGATCCCAGGTCTCCGGGATCACGCCCAGAGCCAAAGGCAGACGCTCAACCACTGAGCCACCCCAGTGTCCCAAGATTTATTTATTTTACAGAGAGGGCGAGTGGTCGGGGGGGGGGGGGGAGTGGGGGGAGGAAAGGGAGAGAAGCAGACTCTCAGCTGAGCTTAGAGCCCAAAGCAGGGGATGCAGGGCTCCACCAGCCAGCGCTCCATCCCACAGGCCCTGAAAGCAGGACCTGAGCTGAAATCAAGAGTCAGATGCTCAACCAAGTGAGCCATCCAGGCACCACAAAAATAAAATCTTAAAAAAAAAAAATTTCCTCTTAATCCTGAGGACTGGAGTCATGGAAGGTCTGCTCAGAGGCTGGGGAGGGCCATGGTCACTGTGTGGACGCCCCCAGCCTCTGTCTTCGCATACGTCTTCCACTCCCTCCTCTGTTGAATTCTGTTCTCAGCAGAGTTCCCCCTCCTGCAGGCACTTCCTTGACATTCACCAAGGTGGCAGGTACCTCTCTGAGTCCCACAGCCCCCCAGTTCCTCCCAGCCATGACCCTTCTGGCCTATGGGGGTCTAAGGCCAAATCTGACCGTGGTCCCTCTCCTGCGGACTCTTGCAAGGTTCCCCAGTGCCTTCAAAATACACTCTGAGGGGTGTCTGGGTGGCTCAGTCAGTAAAGTGTCCCACTCTCAATTTCAGCTCAGGTCTTGATCTCAGGTTGTGAGTTCAAGTCCTGCATTGGGCTCCACACTTGAGTGTGGAACCTACAAAGAAAAAGAAAGTAAGGAAAACATACACTCCAGGACTCTAAGTTTGACACTTGTGGCCCTCCGTCCATATCCCCCTACCCTAACTGGCTCTGTGGCCCAAAGCAGAGCCACACCCCTGGGCCAACTACCTGGAGGGAAAGTAAGCCCTGTACTGGAATAGATGGAGGAGTGAGCTTCCCATCACAGGAGACATTCAAATAGAATTTGGACAATCTTTAGAACCTGCTGTGGGAGAAGGTAAATTCCTGCTTTGGGTAGTAACTTGGGAAGATAACAGATTCCAGGTCTGAGATAGCTCAAACATTTTCAAGGTCACAGAAATAGCCAGGCTTTATTGAAGGTTTGTGCCAGACATGATGGGATTTCAGGTGATTCTGTCACGTGTATGGAGTACACTGTAGGAGAGTTTCCTGAGTCTCTTTGGCTATGGAGGACTTTTCCTTACAGGCTGATCTTAGGGCCAGATAGGCCACACTGAGGTGACATGTGAGCAAGACCTGAGGTAGGGGAAGAGGGGCAGTGATATGGATCCTGGGAAAATATTCCTGCCAGTACAGCAAGTGCAAAGGCCCGGAGGTGACTGTGCCTGACACGCTCAGAGATCCTCATTTCATTATGGTCAAATGCACCCTCCAAAGAGGCCTTGACTATTCCATCTGGTCTAAATCAGCACAAGTCCCCAAACCACTCTACTTTCCATACTTTACTTTTCTTAATGCATTTATTACCTCGAGAAATATCTTACAATTGTCTCCTCCACGAGGTGAGAACTTTTTACCTAATTTGCTCACTGATGCACCCTACTGCCTAGAACAAGGCCAGGCACTCAGGACTTAGGAGTCAATGGACGAGAGAGGTACTATCATTAATCTCTGATGAATGAGTAAACCAAGACCCCTAAAACCTAGCCCCAGGTATAGATAGTAGACCTTGGGGCTGGGAAGTTACGCAAATTTTAACTTCTTTGTAGACATCAGTAAGGTTTTAAAAAAATCTAGAGTTCAAAGGCTCCATCAATCTGGCCCACAAAGTTACATTTTAATTATAGCAACACCAAAATACTAAGCTGGTCCTGGCACTAAGTGCTGGCTGGAGGAGAGGCTGGGCCAGCCGGGTGTGGGGGCCGTCAAGCTGGTCCAGGATGCTGCAGTCGGTGAAGAGCTAGTGTGGTCACCTGGTAAGAAGGCTCACCGCCTGAGCACGGGCTGTCCTGTTTACCCCTCACAGCTGCTCCAAGATCAGTCCTCCCATCACACCCATTTGTGAGATGAGGAGGCAGAGGCAGAAGGATGCCTTGCCCAAGGTACACAGCTACCATCCGGGTGCCTCCATGGAGTGCCTCCCTCAGCCCTCAAGCCTAGCCTACGAGGCAGGTACTGTTAACATTGTAGACGGGGAAATGGAGGCACGTGAGGTGAAGTAACCTGCTCAAGACCATGGTAGACAGAAGTGGTGAAGCTGGGACTTGAACTTGGACAGTCCGGATCCCATACCATGGAGTGCCACGCAACTGTGCTGTCCATGTCAGAAGCCAGGACCCACGCATGGCTGCTTAAGTTAAAGTCAATTAAAATGATACAAACAGAAACTCCAGTCCTCAGTATCATGACGCTGTACGACCACTGGCTGCTGGACTGGATCAGTCTCACAGAAAACGCCACCATTCAGGGCTATGACAGTCTGCCTGTCCTAGTTAGGACCCAACATTTAAAAATTGGGAGACTTGGGGATCCCTGGGTGGCGCAGCGGTTTGGCGCCTGCCTTTGGCCCAGGGTGCGATCCTGGAGACCCGGGATCGAATCCCACGTCGGGCTCCCGGTGCATGGAGCCTGCTTCTCCCTCTGCCTGTGTCTCTGCCTTGTCTCTGCTCTCTCTCTCTCTCTCTGTATGACTATCATAAATAAATAATTAAAAAAAAATTAAAAAATAAAAATAAAAAAAAAAATAAAAATTGGGAGACTTAATATAACCCCCCCCCCCCAAAAAAAGCCCAACTTCTGGCTTCTATTGAAAAAGCTGATCAAGCAACTCCAGGCCCACCTTCCCACAGGGCCACAGCTGGCAGAGGGGGTAACAGCTGCCCTCTGGTCCCCCCAGAGCCCCAAGGAGCCCAGGCTTCGCGCTTGTACACAACACCCTGGCAGTGACCTGGCTCTAAATCCCCAGTGTTGACCTCTCTTCCCTTTTCCATAGATGAGAACTCACAGGGTCAAAGAGTGAGAAGTACTTTTTGAGGTCACACTTCACACAAGCCATGGCTAGAAGGACCTGGGTTTGCGGATTCCCAGGCCAGGGTTCAAAACCAATCCTGATCCATCAAACAACCGACACTGTGCTTGGCAGCCAATTAGCCACTGTGGGACGATGTCCCAAGAGTCCCGGACCTCACCCCGATGCCCCCATCTGGAGACTCTCCGGACACAGGAGTGTGGCATCTGGGATGGACTTTATTGGATGTGGCTGCCCAAGCCATTATCTGGGAGCACTGGGGCCTCGGGCCCAGGACCCAGGCAGTGAGTCTGATGAGGCTCAGAAGTCAGGGCTGTTTGGAGCGAGGCCATAAGCGGTTGGTAAGAGAGCCAAAGAAGAGGTTCTGCTTGCTGGATTTGGAGAGCTCAGCCAGGCGCTGCTGTTCTTCCTGGGGTGAAAGACAGGGAGGAGGGTCAGCCCGGGCTGGGTATTCTCCTAGACTCCCTCATCCAAGGGGCCATCTTCCTTAAACCTCTGCCCAGCCTTAAACCCCTTCCCCAAGCTCCTAGAACACCAGCCCAGACACAGGAGCCCAGATTCAAGTCCTGGTACTGTCATGATCACCCTCTCCAGAACCCCGGGAACCTACCCCAGATCCTTTTTACCCTAAACATAGATGCTGGTGAGACCCCAGGCTCTTCATCAGACTACACTGTTCTGGTCTCTGAGCCCCAGTGTCCAGCCCTCAGCTGAAGGACCCCAGTTTGAATGTTGGGGGAATCCCAGGCCCAAATCTCCAAAGACTCATCCTTTGGGCACTCAGGAGCTCCAGCCCTACTCGCAGGCATCCAACCCAGAATCTGATCAACCTCATTTTAGACCCCAGAGGATTTCTTTCCCAGGCTCAATCCATATTCTCAGCCTCATTTCCAAATTACCAGGATCACACTGAGAACACCAGAACTCCTTGCCCTGTCCCTTGGGCCAAGTGTCCAGGGATCCCCATTCTCCAGGCCTGACCCAAACCTCCTGTCCACACAAAACCTGAGCCCTCAGATTTGCTTGAAATCATCACAGACTACACCTCTCCAAGATCCATGCTTGGCTTTCCTGCCTCCTGCTCTCAAAGCAGGCTGTGGAAATCGACCACCTCCTTCCCCATTACAAGAGCCCTACAGGACAGTTGTGTGGAAGACCGGGTCCTTGGTCAAGGTCTTGCAGCCAGAGCAGAGACAGGCTGCTCTAGGGGCACTCCCTTGGGAACTGACGTGATGACCCCACCCATCTGCAGTCTGAGCACTCACCTGCTCTAGCCGGCTCTGCCGCTGTTTGAAAGCCTCCAGTGGGTCATCCTCCAGGGCGTAATGTTCTAACACGGTCCTGACATCTTCCACTCGGTTCAGCGCAATGGCTGTGGGCACAGTAGGTAGGGGTCAGGCAGGCAGAAAGGCCCCAGGGAAGCAGAGCCCACAAGGGTAAAGGTCAGACCCTGGGGCTGGTCAGAGCTACCTCGAACATTTCTTAACACGCTAAAAGGGCTCCCCTGGACATCCCCCCAAGAATCCCCTAAATATTCCAGAGCACCCCAAACATTCTCAGAAACTTCTAAAGACTGCAGGATGTTTGTGAATCTCTCACATCTCAAGTACCCAATTTTACATGTGGGTGGGGGAGGCAGCCAGAATTAAGCATCTATTATTCCTCTTGAGACTCAAGGGCTCCAAGGCCAGTAGCCAGGAGGTCAGGGATTAGTCTCACTCTTAAGGAAGGCAGACAGGTCCAACAAGACTCGGTCATCAGAGTTGCCGTCCCAGGGCCGCAGGGCGACGCCATTGTAGGGCTGAAGGCGAAAAGCTTCCTTCTTGCAGTCCACAACTACTACGCGGGCAGGGTCCCGATTCAGACATGAAATATCCTGCAAGTACACACAGGCCCAGAGACTCGTGTAAGCTACTACAATTACAATCCCAAAGACACTCAGCTCCAAACAGAGACAACACAGCTTCCAAACCTCATATCCCTCCATTACCCCCAACTGTCTTCTTTGGAGAGTCTTCACTTCCCCCCACTCCCATCCCCAGATACCCAGGAAGGGAGAAGAACCTAGGAGCCCAGCCTGTGCTGAGGGCAGGCTAAAGTCCTGTCAGAATCAGATCTGGGGCAGAAGAAGGGTTGAGGCTGGGGTCAGAGCTGAGGCCTCTTTTCTTTTCCTCAGAAGGCGTCAGTACCCCACCCCCCAAGTCCCAGAGGACCACCTATGCCCCGCCCCCCCAACCATGACACCTTAACATGGTGCCCATCCATGTATCTTGTGGCATCCCGGAACAGGCGGTAGGAGATGAAGCCATGAGGGTCCACACTGTCGATCAGTGGGAATGCAGTCTGGGGATGGGATGGGAGACACAAGATCAGGGTGAGCCTGACCCTCTGGATCTCCTGCCATACCGACCATCCCTCCCCTGTCCCGGGGCCTTACCATGCCAGTCTCTGATGTAAAGATGACGATTTCATACAAAGGGGCAAGCTGCTGGAATAAAGTTTCGATGCCTGGACGCTTCTTAAACCTCCAGCCGGTGGCCAGCTGGGGAGGCAGGAAGGACAGTGGAGTCAGTGAGGACAGTGAAACACCAAGACTCAGAAACCCCGAAGAGAACAAAGCCCCAGCCAGGGGATCCCCAGAACTAGAGTGCTCTCCCCCATCTTTGTAGCTCCGGGTGGGGGGTGCTCAGAAGCACATGGCTGTGACTGAGGGTCTAGGAGTCTGGAGGGTGTAGCACATATTGTGTGCTACAACAACCCACAGTGTGGGCAGTCTCACAGGTGAGAAAACCAGTGAGAGAGACGCCCCCTCCCCCACATCACACGATGGATCTGGCTCCAGAGTCTCTGCTCTGAACTGTATCATCGAGATCTGGCCACCCATGTCTATCTAGTGTCCCAGCCCGCTGCCTTCCCCAGGACACACCGACCACTCAGGGTGCAAGAGGACGCCTGTGAGCTCCAAGACCAGCGTGTAGGGCGGCTGGTAGTATGGCTCCTTTAGAGGGTCTGGGAGGAGGCAGGGACTGGTGGGCTCGATGATCATCTGTGGGGACAGGGACGGAATGGGAGCACTCAGACAAGGAAGCAGGGGCTGGGGCTGGAGGGTGGGGACTTGACTCAGAGTTCCTGCTCACCTGTCTGTAGTCTTTGAAATATTTGTATGTGCGGCGCAACTGCTGTACCAGAATTGGATCTAGGAGGATACAGGGGCACAAAGGGATTCCAAGATGAGCCACTGCTCAACCTCCCCAACAAACCAGGGGTTTATTTACCTACCAAACACAAACAAGTCTATACACCCACCTGGTTTGAAAGAGCTCATTTCTTTTTTTTTTTTTTAATTTTTATTTATTTATGATAGTCACAGAGAGAGAGAGAGAGAGAGAGAGGCAGAGACATAGGCAGAGGGAGAAGCAGGCTCCATGCACCGGGAGCCCGATGTGGGACTTGATCCCGGGTCTCCAGGATCGCGCCCTGGGCCAAAGGCAGGCGCCAAACCGCTGCGCCACCCAGGGATCCCCGAAAGAGCTCATTTCTAAGTGAAAAAGTAGAAGGCAGGGACATAACTGCCAGGCAGGAGTAGATACTTTTATTCACCTGCCCAATTCTAATGTGAATACTTCTACTCACACACCACCCCAGATAAAAACAGAATGTTTATGCATACATGTAACCCTGCTGATATTATACCAGCACGTTCAGTCCGTTTTGAACCACTAGGCTTCTTCTACATCTGTCGGTTAAAGCTAGTATGCTAAGTCTACTGAAACCATGCTAAACATACATATACACTTACATACTCTTAATCTAGTGGTTCTCAACTCGGAGGAATCTGGTCTGGTATCTTCCAGGGACTCGAGGCAATGTTTGAAGACACATGTGATGGCCACAATACTGGCAAATAGTGGATTGAGGCCTACCATACTGCTCAACACCCTCCAATGCACCCACCACTCCCCACAACAATGCACTACCTGCTTCAAAGTACCAACAGGCGGACGGACGCCTGGGTGGCTCAGCGGTTGAGCATCTGCCTTTAGCTCAGGGTGTGATCTCGTAGTGCCAGGACTGAGTTCCACATCAGGCTCCCTGCATGGAGCCTGCTTCTCCCTCTGCCTATGTCTCTCTCTCTCTCATGAATAAATAAATACGATCTTTAAAACAAAACAAAACAAAACATGGGACACCTGGATGGCTCAGCAGTTGAGCATCTGCCTTCGACCCAGGGCATGATCCTGGAGTCCCAGGATCCAGTACCACACTGGGATCCCTGCATGGAGCCTGCTTCTCTCTGCCTGTGTCTCTGCCTCTCTCTCTCTCTCTTTGTGTGTCTCTCATGAATATATAAATAAAATCTTTAAAAAAATAAAAATAAAAATAAAAAATAAAATAAAATAAACAAAGTACCAATGGGGCCAAGGTTGAAAAATCCTGGCCTAAATGAATATCCTGGGACAGCCCAGGTGGCTGAGTGATTTGGCGTTCCCTTTGGCCCCGGACATAATCCTGGAGACCCGGGATCAAGTCCCACGTCGGGCTCTCTGCATGGAGCCTGCTTCTCCCTCTGCCTGTGTCTCTGCTTCTCTATGTCTCTCATGAATAAATAGATAAAATCTTAAAAATAAATAAATAAAAATAAACTGGGTTCAGTATATTCATTTTTTTAATTTTGTTTATTTATTCATGAGAGACACAGGCAGAGGGAGAAGCAGGCTCCATGCAGGAAGCCTGACGCGGGACTCGATCCTGGGTCTCCAGGATCACACCCCTGACCGAAGGTGGCGCCAAACCGCTGAGCCACCCGGGCTGCCCTGAATCCAGTTTAAAGCAGGAAGTTTATCTGACTGCCTGCTTCATTAGGTACTTTTAGTTTAGTTAAACCACTGCCTATGTAAGGGCTTGCCTTTTCAAAACCAAAATGTTGATGGGACGCCTGGGTGGCTCAGCAGTTGAGCATTTGCCTTTGGCTCAGGGAGTGATCCAGGTCCCAGGATTGAGTCCCACATTGGGCTCCCTGCAAGGAGCCTGCTTCTCCCTCTGCCTGTGTCTCTGCCTCACTTTATGTGTCTCTCATGAATAAAAACAAAAACAAAAACAAAACCCAAAATGTTGAAACTAGTTATGCTAGCAAACACACACATTTTAAACCTGCAGGTTTACCCGCTCTATCTATCTATCTATCTATCTATCTATCTATCTATCTATCTATCTATCATTTTTACCCGCCCAATTTAAATCAGTATGTTGATTTCTTTAAATCAGGAATAGGTAAAATCTTAAAAAAAAAAAAAAATCAATATGGGATGCCTGAGTGGCTCAGCGGTTGAGTGTCTGCCTTTGGCTCAGGGCATTATCCCCGGATCCGGGATGGAGTTCTGCACTGGGCCCCCTGCATGGAGCCTGGTTCTATCTCTGCCTCGCTCTCTCTCTCATAAGTGGATAGATAAAATCTTAAAAAAAATAAAAATAAACTAGGAAGATTACCCGGTTAAAACACCATTACTTACCCACTTGGCCAGCTTAACTAACCAATGTATTAACATGTGGGTTTGCAAACTTCCCCAGCACGAACAGGTGGCTTTCTGGACCTACCAATTGTATTTTTCTCTGGGGAAGGGTCAGGTGTGACAGAACTGACAACTACTCTCTACTTATCTAACTTGCCAGAAACTCTCTACCAAAAGCTGGTTAACTAAAAAGGGAGGGAGGAAAGACATTGTTTTGGAAATGAGCCTGATGGGGTGGGGGGCTTAGGGGGAAAGAGGAGGCCCTCAGAAAGAGGAGGGGATTAAGGGCTGCAGCCGCTCAGATCTAAGGCACAGGAAGCCATGCGTCTGGTGGTAGACAGGCCCCCCTCTCTCCAAGCACTCCTACCGGTGGACTCCCCTCCCCCATCTCACCCTGACCATCTGCTCCTGGGCCAGTGAAGAGGACTGCGGCTTTGTAATGCCCCTCCCCCCAAAGCCATCCAGTTGCTGACTCCCCCACCCCCCAAAGAAAGGAGGAGGGGTGGGAGGCACCAGAAGGGAAGGGTAACATCCCTATAAGTTGCAGGATGGGGAGGTTCAGCGGGGGGACCTCAGAACCTGTGGCTGTTTTTACTCACCATTGTCGAATTCATCAGGAATCTGGAAAGTGGAGACAAAAATGTACAGTTTGGGATGGCAGAGGCTGAAACCCATCAAACCCAAAAAAGGAATCTCCAGGGCCCTGGGAGTTGTAGGCAAAGGTCCCTGGGAGGGAGAGGCTCATCCTGAGACCAGCAATGAGCCTGAGCAGACCAAAGGGGAAAGGACCCACAGGATGGGACCCCTGGCAAGGCTTAGGGTCCCATCTGGGTCTCTCTCCTCCTCACCTTGGCACCAGTTTCATCCACAGAGTTGTTTCCTGTAAAGGAGACAGGAAGGAATGAGAGAAATTGAGGCCCGGTCTCCTGAGTCTTGAGGAAGGAAGAGGGCAGGGGGCCTGGATTCCTGGGTCTGAGGGAAGAAGGAAGAGGCATGGTCTCCAGAGGTCAAGAGAGGATGGGGCCGGTAGTCAGGATCCTGGGTTTCCAAGAGAAGAGGGACTGAGGCAGGGTCTCCTCAGTCTCTGAAGGAGGAAGGGACTACGGGGAGGGCTGGAGTTTTGGGTGCTGCAGGAAGAGGTAGCTTAGGAGGCTGCTCCAGGCCTCTCCTTCCCCATCTTCCCCTCTTCCAAATGACTCTCTGTATCCTAGTGCAGAACCAACTAAGAGTTCAACCTTGAGCAAAGTGGGCAGAGGGAGAAGAAAGGTCTCCCATTTCCAAGGCTGATGTTCTAGTTGGCTGCCTTAAGGAGGGAGGAGCCAGGGAATGAAGATGGGCCAAACTCTTAAGAGAAAGGGGGGAGGTTCTGCAGAAGAGAGAGTCAAGGGAACAAAATTGGGAAACAGGCATATGTCCCTCACCAAAGATATAGACGACGCTCACAGTCCCACCGGCCCCGAGCAGCCCAGCCAGCCAGAGTGCAACTTTTTTGGCGTAGCTGGGACCCTCTGTGCCCCGCTGCTGCTGCTGTGACCCCTGAGCCTGGGCCTTGGTGCCTGAGCGGCTCCCAATTTCCGTGGCCTGCAATTGAGAGGAGGTAGATTAGCCGAAAGAGAAGTGAGAAAGGTCAGGATGATTCTGGCACCCTGGTCAGAGAAGAATCAAGGTTGGGAGCCAGGAAGCAGACACCCACATAGCCTTAGGGTGTTGGGTCTCTGCACAGGCAACCAGGGGATTGGGTTTCTTAGAATAGTCAAGAACTTGACTGTCCTGGGCCAGGTGCCCAAGGGTTGATAGGCTGGGCGCCCAGGATCCCGCAGGGCAGGGAAATGAAGTCAGGGAGCCTGGCTGAATGCCGGGAGCAAGGTGATGGAGAGCACAAAAGTGGGTTGGACGGGTAGTTAAGTCATGCGGATGCCCGGGGCTCACAGCAGTGGGGTACAGGGGGGGAGGGTAGGGAGTGGGGACAGAGGGGCAATCGCTTGCCTGGGGAAGTAAGGGCACGGAGTGAGGTCGGAAAGGCCGGATCTCCGTCAGTGTGGAGGCAGGTTGAATCAAGAGCCCGGGCACGGACCTCATCATCACCGCCACCACCGCGGGGACAGTACCCCCAGGCCAGTGTGGGACCCCAGCATCCCGGGCCCCTCCCCGACAAGCATTACCTGAGAGGTCACCGAGATGGGAAACAGGTGACCTCCCTTTCCCCGGTACCCACCTGGGGTCCAGAGGAGGTGGCGTTCAGAGGACGCACTTCGGCCCCCAGCATCTAGCTCGAGGGCGCAAGCGCTGCCCACCCGGGAGGCAGGGAAGCGGCCCGAAACGCGGGCGGCGTTCCATTCAGCACCCTGAGGTGCTGCGTCCCAGAACCCTCGCGCGGCGCGGGCCGCCCGAAACTTCAGGAAGGGGCACCCCCCGCACTCGCGGGCCACCTGCATCCGGCTCACCTGGTCCGGGGTCCGGGGCGGCGGCGTCGCCAGCCTCGCGCACAGCCCCCGCGCGCCGCGCCGCAGCTCGCTCCGCAAGCGCAAGGCCAGCGCCGCCGAGGCCGCCATCTTGCGCTGACGCCACGCGGCCCCGCCCACTCGCTCTCGTCGCCCAGCCCGGGCCGCACCTGGGCCAATGGGGACTCGGGGGTGGGGCGGGCGGACGGGAGCTCGAGAGGGACAAAGGGCCGCGGAGCAGAGCCGCCCGCGTCCTCGTTTCGGGTCGACCCGGCGCGCCGCGGTCAGGCGTTCCGCCCACCCCACGCCTCCCCGCCCCTGCAGCGGCGGGGAGCGGCTCACGCAGGGCCCGGGGGGCTAGGCTGAGGCCGCCGCGTAGGACCCTGTGGCTGCGGATCGCGTCCTGAGAGCAAAGCAGCGAGCTAGTTCGTTTCGCCCACGTGGTCCGCCCAGGAAGCGGGCTGAAAGCCAGCCCTCCCAAACCCTTCCTCCTGAGGAGCCTGGAGGCCGAAGCTCTCCCGACCTCGCAGCCCTTTCTTGCCCCTCCTCCCCTGAGCTGCTCTAGGAAGGGTCTGGAAAGCCAGCGCTTTCAAGCGAAGGCTCGGCCAAAGGAGCAGCGGCCGCCTCCCCGGGTTCGGGCTTATCGAGACAGAAATCCATGAGTAAGGGGCGACAGGTGGCCGCGAAGACTCTCCCTCCTTACTTTAAAAGGAAGGGAAGTCTCATACTGCTTATGGGAACTTTGAAAGCATGGAAAATCACCATGTTACATCTAGGGAAAAATACTAAGGTCAGGCTTCTGGTCCCCTCTGGTGGGGGTGGGGACGCACGGACTGGGTTGCTGTTTAAATCTCTCCTACGTACTGTACTACGTACTGCCAAGCTGGGTGGTGGGTGAGGCATGGATGTTCTAGGGGTTGTAGTATCTTTTCGAATATTTAAAAAAATTTTTTTAAAGATTTTATTTATTCATGACACACAGAGAGGCAGAGACACAGGCAAAGGGAGAAGCAGGCTCCACAGAGAGCCCGATGTGGGACTTGATCCCGGGTCTCCAGGATCACGCCCTGGGCTGCAGGCGGCACTAAACCGCTGCGCCACCGAGGCTGCCCCCTTTTCGAATATTTGAAATATTTTATATTGCATTAATTAAAAAAAAAACATTTGTCAAATGAATAAGGTGAAGGAAGGTCAGGGTACTGAAGCCCCATTCTCCAGCTTGCTTGTCTCTACCCTCAAGCCACCAGACAAGCCACAAAAATTCTGGTGTCGCTGCTCTGTGGGCTCAAGAAGAGGACCTTCAACTGCGGTATCCTGCACCATAGGAGGAATTTCGGTTTTCCTGATTTTCACTTTACATAACTCAAGTGAGAGTGGAATGTTAACTTCAATGAGGGGCAGGCTCTGTTCTAATAATCTTTCCAATGTCTCCTCATATATTCATGCTGGGGTAGGCAGCATCATTTTCTAGATGGGGAAACTGAGGCTTAGGTGCCCCCATCTAGTTATTTGCCCAGGAAGTAAGTGGGGTCTACAAATGACCGCACTTACAAAACAGACACACACATACACACCCCTTCTGACCAAACAGCTTTTTATTGAAAGACCGAAACACAAAAGCAAGCTGGGGAAAGGAGGGTACAAGAAGGTGGGGACCCTCCCCCAGACTCTATTCTGATTCCCATGAACATCAGGGAGGAAGATAGGAACTCAAAAGGAAAATAAAAGAAATCCTAAATGACCAGATTAGCCCTGGTCCGGACCCCAGACCCTGTGTCAAGAGCCAAGGGCCATGGAACGAAGGAGGGACAGACACTCCACTCTCTATCTGCCAGATAATCTGCCAAGTCCACCCGCCCTGCGTTCCTCAGGCCTCCAGGAGCTTCCCCAGGAAGCGGAGGTTGAGGATCTTGAGCTGCTCATCAAGGTCCATGCGGACGATGCCATCCTCACCATCGATGCTCAACAGGACCCCTGTGGCTTCCCGATCCTCACCCAGGATCACCTTCACCTGAGGTGGGGAGGAATGGGGGTCAGGGTCCATGTCAGCAACCCAAGGCCCCCACGTCTCCTGCCCTACCTCCTTACCTTGTTGTTCTTGGTGGGGGTGATGGGCTCCAGGTGCTCACTGGAGATGCTGACAACCTTCTCACTGTCCTTTAGGTATACAGAGCACATGCCTCCCTGTGGGTAGGGACAGCCTGGTCAGTGTCCAACAGAGCACTGCTGCCCACACTCAGAGGCCACCGGCTCAGGGCTCGTCCTAACAAGTTACTTGCCCCTAACTTATGGGCAGGAAAGGGCAGGAAAGGTCAAAAGCTGGGCCTGGTTCCTGGGCCTGTGGGGTGTGGGGGCGGGGTGGCCAGATCAGCAAGGGAAGCACCAGAACGAAGCTAACTTAGGCCAAAAGAGACTGCTTCTCAGGCATGTGACTCCATGTCCCAAGTGGGCCTCCTCACCTTTCCCCTCCTGGCCCCACCTATACCTCAGGGATATCCTCACAGGCCCTACCTAGTCCCTGGCCAGAGCTCTGACCTCAATGTAGGTCAGCCCGTTCACCAACAACCTTCAGCGCTGGGGTGTGTTCACTTGGCCTCCTGAGGGTCTCTGCCACTTGCCTCCCTCCTCTCTTCCTCACAACCAGAGCTCCCCCTGGGTTCCCAGCCCCCAGTCTCACCATCCTAGTCCATCCCTGCTAGAGCAACATAGTGAATTAATTCCAAACCACAGACCTGGTCCACCACTGCCTTGCCTGCTTGGATTCCTCCGGACACAGTCCAAGTTCCCCAGGCTGCCATGTGACCTGGCCTAGTCACTTCTCTGGCCCTGTCACTCACCCTTCCCCCTGGGCTTTTTATGTTCTAACCACAATGAACATATTTCAACTCCCCAGATGTGCCAGGCTTTCCCTCATCTCCAGGCCTTTGTAAGGCCCCTGTCTTTGGAACACACTTTCCCCCCTCCCCCACTACTTCTCTTGGCTTACTCCTATCCAGTCTTCAGATCTTGGTGCAGATGCTGCTTCCTCCAGGAGGCACCCCTCCTGAACCCCTCAAAAGTTGATTAAGTTGCCTCCTCTAAGGTTCCCATAGCTCCCCTTGCTGTCAGGGCTTCTGGTATCCCAGCTCAGGTCACTCAGGCTGTCCCTGTTTGGGGACACGTCTGCCTCCCCAACTAGGATGTGAGCCTCTGTGAGGGCAGGGCCTGGAGCCATCTTGGTCTCTGGTGTCTCTCTCTCTCTCTCTCTCTCTTTTTTTTAAAGATTTTATTTATTCATGAGAGACACAGAGAGAGAGAGACAGAGACACAGGCAGAGGGAGAAGCAGGCTCCATGCAGGGAGCCCGACGTGGGACTCGATCCCAGTACTCCAGGATCACACCCTGGGCCAAGGACGGCGCTAAACCACTGAGCCACCCGGGCTGCCCCTCTGGTGTCTAATTCGTTCAAGTAACATTTACCAGAATACCAACACTCTGTTGGTTCCTCATCTAGGAACTAGGGCTGCTTAGGAATGAAATACAGGCTTAGTAACCAAAGAATCACACGCTGAATAAACTTTAAGCTAATTTTAGGCAGCAGGTAGGCAATGTGAAAAAAAATTACATGGACATATAAGACAGACCTGAGATAGCTCAAAGGCTTCCTTGAAGGATGAAAAGAAGAGCATCCCAAACAGAGGAGAGTGACAAGCTAAGGCCCTGAGGCTGGAGAGAACCTAGTGACTGTGAGGGATGGAAAGACCAGTAATGCTGGAGCAGGAGGAGCACTACGGGTAGGGTGCCTGGCTCTAAGCCGAGGCCTGGCATAGGGAAGCTCTCTGTCCGTGTTACTGAACTGGTCTCAGAGGAATCCGTTAATGTGTAATCTAGTTCCTGGGTGCCAGTCACTACTCCAGGCTAAGGGGGCCCCAGCCATGTACACAACATGCAGAAACCCCTGCCCTGTGGAGCCCGCAGGCCAGACCATCCACACTTGCTTTTCCAGCTATAAACAGGTACCAGAAAACATGGTTAGATGGTTAAAAAGAAAAAAACCAGTAACCACAGAGGTTGGGGACCCCAAATGAGGGGTCCTGCCCACCCACTGGCCTGGGCCCCACTTACTGTGACGCTGCGGATGACGCCTGTCTGCCCCACCACCTGTGTATCCAGGTAGGTGTCCCGCACCTTCACCTGGATGTCAGTGGTTACCCAGTCGCTGGAGTTCTGCTCAATGCCTGAGCCTGGTGTGTGGGGGTTGTAGCCACCAGGGGAGGGGGCTCCGGGTGTCATCGGACTGTAGCCAACAGGGCTCGGGCTGGGGCTGGCCTGTAGGTGAAAGGGGGGTGGCGTTATTGAAAATAGGTCATCAGTCATCTAGCTTGGTTGCCCCCACAGACCCAAGACTCATCCTAACCCACCCACCCCCCTTTTTTTTTTAAAGGTTTATTCATCTGAGGGCAGCCGGGGTGGCTCAGTAGTTTAGCGTCGCCTTCGGCCCAGGTTGTAATCCTGGAGACCCGGGATCGAGTCCCATGTCTGGCTCCCTGCATGGAGCCTGTTTCTCCCTCTGCCTGTGTGTCTGCCTCTCTCGTGCTCTCTCTCATGGATAAATAAATAAAATCTTAAAAAAAAAAAAAGTTTATTCATTTAAGAGAGAGAGAGAGAGAGCACACATGCGTGCACGCAGGAGTACACGAAGGAGCAGAGGGAAAGGGAGAGAGAAACTTCAGCAGATTCCTCACCAAGCGTGGAGCCTGATGCAGGGCTCAATCCCAAGACCCTGAGATCATGACGTAAGCAGAAACCAAGAGTCGGTTGCTTAATCAACTGTGCCACCCAAGTGCCCCCTAGCCCACCACCCTTAAGGGCATGCAAGCTCACCAGTACCTGATAGGCCATGGGTGAGGGTGTGGGGTGGTAGCTGGCTGGAGAGTGGGTGTTCTGGTAGCCTGCTGGGCTTGGCGCCACCTGGTGGTAGCTCTGGGGGCTGGGGCTGGGCTGGTAGGAGCCTTGTGGGGAGGGGGCGGCATAGGGGGAGAACTGGTCTGTGTTGTACCTGGAGAGTCAAAAACAGAAGGGCGCAGCTGTTGGGGATGGTGCAGAAGAGAAGAAGGTAGTGGCAGCAGAGAGGGTTTGGGCAAGGGTTGATTAGGGTTAGCCCCAG